TTGGCGATGACCAATATATCGGAATTCTCTGATCTAATCTGGCTAGCGATTGCGGTTGATGTTGAGCACGGCGTTACCACACGTGATCTGGTGCAGATGCCTGACCGAGCGCCTTCAGCTAGGTGAGTCCACTAAAACATATGGTCAGCCTCCAATGTCGAAAACTTAGTGCTATTTATTTTTGGGATTTATTTACCGCTACAGATCACTCCCCCCCTAGTGGGGCAGTGACGACCCTAAGACGTGGCCAGCCAGAAGTTTAAACCCAACGAGTTTGTCGTTGGTAAACACTCTTCTGATAGCTTACTAAATTTAGCAGCGTCTGGTCGTCTTTCCTTACTATATGAGACGGAGGTACAACATAGTAAAAAAAAGAAAATGTACATGGAAAATTTCGGATCCTCATAAACGTCATCGTTCTTTTCCAGCCGTCCTGGAAAAGAAAAAAAATGTAAGTGCATGTCGAAAATACACTCGTATGTGCGTAAAAGCACAATGTCGGCGGAAAAAAAATGGAAAATAAACTCATGAACACGTTAAAAAAATTGTTTTTTTGTTTTGCTTTTTTTTTTAAATCGAAATAAAAATATATAAGCATATTAAAATTGTTTTTTTTTAAAAAAATAATATAAAATGTCGAGAAGTGCCTTACGTGCAATAGTCGTTTAAATGTTCTGGAAATCTCACCCTTCTTCCAGAACGCGTCGTTTTAAGTTTATTTTCGGATACTGTCGAAGTATCATCGTGTGTGTTGGTTGTCGGATGAGGTATTATAAGTGTCGGAGTCGTGTCGTTCGATTGTACCGAAGGAAAATCCACGTAGATAGGATTTTCTTCTAAATACGCTGCTTTTAAGCGATCGATGCTGATGCTATCATTGGTTCCGTTCTTATCGACTATATAGTACTTAGATTCACGTTGAAGAACTTTGAAGGGTCCTTCGTATGCTGATTCGAAGGGTCGTCGATGCGAGTCTCGACGAACGAAAACGTGTGTACTATATCGTAAGTCAGGTTGAACGAAAACATCAGTTGATTGAGGTCGAGTGGAAGCAGGTTTAACTGAACGCATTGCGTTTGTAAGCCTGTTCGTGTAGGAGGTTAGATCCATGTTCATTGAAGAGGATGAAGGATCCACGAATTCTCCTGGAAGTCGAAGTGTCGTACCATAAACGAGTTGAGACGCAGTGTATCCAATGTCAGCTTTCACTGCATTGCGGATACCTAGTAAGACGAGTGGAAGAGCGTCGGTCCACTGTGAAACGTTTGCAGCTGATAGCGAAGCTTTCAGTTGTCGGTGAAAACGTTCTACCAACCCGTTTGCTTGTGGATGGTAGGCGGTCGCTCGGAATCGAGTGATTCCTAAAAGTGTGGTCAGACGACGGAAAAGATCGGATTCAAACTGACGTCCGCGGTCTGTAGTGATGGTTGAAGGGCAACCGAAGTTTGCTACCCATCGTTCGACGAAGGTGCGAGCCACTGTTTCAGCAGTGATGTCCTTGATAGGTACTGCTTCTGGCCATCGAGTGAAACGGTCTACGCAGGTTAAGAGATAAGAGTATCCATTTGAATCTGGTAAAGGTCCTACCAAATCCAGATGAACATGGTCGAAACGAGCATCGGGAGTTTTAAACGAGCCTAAGGGACATTTATTGTGTCTGATAACCTTAGATTTTTGGCAGCTTACACAGGAGCGTGCCCACTCCCTCACGTCTTTATTCATGCCAGGCCAGCAAAACCTTTCTGCTATAAGCTTGACGGTTGCACGAACGCCCGGATGAGAAAGTTTGTGCAATGTGTTGAAGACATTGCGTCGATAATGTTTCGGCACGATTGGGCGATCCCTACCTGTAGATGTGTCACAAAGTAAGGTTTCCTTACCTGTTCCCATCTGTTTGATGCGTAGTTTAAGTGTTGTGGACGATAACTCGTGCTGAAGATCACTGTCTTCTTTTTGAAGCTCGGCGAGTTTAAGAAGGTCGATTCCTTGGAAACTGTTCAAGGAAGTTATGCGAGATAAAGCGTCTGCAACTACATTGTTTGCTCCAGAGATGTGTTGAATATCAGAAGTAAACTGCGAAATGTAGTCCAGTTGTCGAGACTCACGGGGAGAGTACTTGTCAGAAGGAGAGCTTAACGAGAAAGTGAGCGGTTTATGGTCCGTGAAAAGAGTGAATTCACGACCTTCGATGTGGTGTTGGAAATGCCGTACAGCACAATACATAGCTAGGAGTTCCCTACCGAATGTGCTGTACCTCGATTCGGTGTCTAGCAACCTTCTAGAGAAAAATGCCAAGGGTTGCCAGGAGTTGTTAACCCATTGTTGTAAGACTCCTCCGATTGCCGAGTCGGATGCGTCTACTGCGATGCTAATGGGTGCTCGGGTGTCCTGATGTGCGAGCATCGTTGCTTTAGCAATCAGTTCCTTAACTGTGGAGAATGCTTTTCGTGCGGTGTCGTCCAAATTAATAAATTTCGCATTTCCACGAAGTTGGTCGGTCAGAGGTTTCATAAGTAATGCGCATTTCGGTATGAAACGTCTATAGAAACTTACCAGGCCGTTAAACGTGCGTAATTGCTTGACAGTGGTCGGTTCTGGGTAATCCAGAATGGCCGCCACTTTGGTCCTAAGAGGTCGAATGCCTTGAGCATCGATAGTGTGTCCTAGGAAGTCTAACGAGTCGGTTCCGAATTGGCATTTCTGAACGTTTACAGTTATGCCATGTTTTTGAAGTCGTTCGAAAACAAGATCCAGATGCTCGAGATGTGTTTCTCTGTCCGGACTTGCGATTAGACAGTCGTCAACATACGCGTGTACGAAGTTGAGACCTCGAAAAACGTCGTCTATGAATCTTTGGAATGTTTGAGCAGCATTCCTTAGACCGAAAGGCATTCGCAAAAATTCATAGAGTCCGAAAGGAGTTATGATAGCTGTTTTCGGTATGTCGTCAGTAGCCATAGGGATTTGGTTATACGCTTTAACCAAGTCGATTTTCGAAAAGACAGTTGTACCTTTCAAGGTAGCTGTCAAATCGTGAATGTGAGGCAACGGGTAACGATCGGGAATGGTTTTCGCGTTCAATCGCCGATAGTCACCACTTGGACGCCAATCGTTGCTGTCCTTTTTAGGGACCATGTGCAACGGAGATGCATATGGGCTACTTGACGGTCGTATGATTCCTAAGTCCATCATGTGATCGAATTCGTTTTTCGCTAACCTTAGCTTTTCCGGAGCTAGTCGTCGTGCTTTAGAGAATACAGGTGGTCCTGTAGTCGTGATGTGATGTGTAACATTGCTGGTTACACACGGTAGTTTCGGTTGAGTTTGTTGTATCCCAGGGTACTTATCGAGTAGTGGTTGATAGAGTGGGTCTATCATATGTTTAACTGTGACTGGGGATATTCTACAACCAGTAAAAGAAGTTACGCAAACGGACAAATTAGTGTTTCCGTCTACTAGCCTCCGTTTGCGCGTGTCGATGATCAGATTGTGGTGTTGTAGAAGGTCCATACCAATGATTGGCATAGAAACATCTGCAATAACGAAAATCCAGTGGATGGGTTTGCGTAAGCCCACGTTAAGGTAAACGTACCTTTTGCCATACGTAGCGATCGGTTTTCCATTTGCCGCCTGTAAGTTAAAAGCCGATTCCTGAAGCCGGTCGTTAGGATTTGCTGGGAGAACGCTAACTTCTGCGCCAGTGTCGACGAGGTAACGAACTCTCGTTGTCACATCTGTGACGAATAACAGACGGCTTTGTTCGCCGGCTACGGTTGCCGTTAACGCGTGCCGGCTTGGAAGTTTCCCGAATTGCTTTTCGAATCAGTCGGTTTCGTGTTGGGAAAATTGCAGAGTTTTCTGCAATTTCTGGAAAGCTTTCCATACTGGTTATGATACCAGCACCAGTCGGGGTTATCTGTCTCTCGTGGTCTAGAGACAGATCGCTTACGAGAAATGCTTCTACGTGGTGTGCGCGATCTCTTACGGTCGGTACGAAGACTAAGATAACGCGTGAGTGTGTGACATAAGTCGTTTATATCATTCTGAGTCGTTTGAGGTTTTTCTTTGACTGAAAATACCTCGGTAGTAGATTTCGTAATTTCTAAAATGCGGTCGGCAGATGCAGCTAGCTCGTCTAAGGCGTTGTTCTGGAACGAGACCAGAACTGCTTGCACCTGTTGGGGAAGTTTTGACAAGAAGAGTTGTTTGAATAGACCTTCGTCGAAAGTTCTTGGGCCTATTACCTCTCTCATTCGTTGCAACATGTCCGTCGCAGAACCGTGTTGCAGGTCGATATTGTTGAAGAGTTGATCTAACCTTTGTCGATCGGTTAGGTCTCGTTTAAGAATCGAGCGTTTTAAGATTTCGTAAGGATCGGAAACATCACTAGTAAACATACTAGGTGTTACGTACCTGTTGAATTCGCGCGGTAGTGCCTTGACTACTGCGAGGAATTGTGCACGTGTGTCGATCACGCCGTGCTCGGAGAAGTCGGCTTCTGCGTAGCAAAACCAGGCTTCGATGTTGTCGGGCCAGAAAGGCATCAGTTGAAACGAAGGCGGGGACAAAGTCTTAAGCTTGAGTACTTTAGGTGTCTGTTCAGTCATGATGAAGTATGAAGTACGATAATGAACGAGGGGAAAATATATATCCAGGAAAAAACACGAAAAAAAATCACAATATTTAAAAAAGTTAAAAAAAATAAGGCAATGATATATAAAAATCCCAAAAAGGAACAGACTCACAGTTGCAATTAGGTGTACCAGATCACGTCGGTTTCACCAATGATGATGTCACAGGTATTCAGTGTTTGACAACGCTTCTACCAGTAACACCTTCTAATATATTTCGTTCCCGCCCAGAGAAATCAAAAGACAGAGTCGAGGAGATCGGAAGAGTATATTTGGCGATGACCAATATATCGGAATTCTCTGATCTAATCTGGCTAGCGATTGCGGTTGATGTTGAGCACGGCGTTACCACACGTGATCTGGTGCAGATGCCTGACCGAGCGCCTTCAGCTAGGTGAGTCCACTAAAACATATGGTCAGCCTCCAATGTCGAAAACTTAGTGCTATTTATTTTGGGGATTTATTTACCGCTACAATATGGTCTCGGTTTTTGAACCTTCTTACAATGTCCTCTCAGATGAGCAGTCCTAGAGTGAAGAAAAATTTAAGACATAACGGTACTAAAATAATCGTTTGTGTTCGGTAAGTTAGTATCATATCAGCCTATAACCTGCGGCAAAATAAAAGAACTAGGTTAATTCGTCTCCGTCTGTCTTCATAATATAGGCGAGAGACCATTTAGCATTCTGATTCCTCGCCATTGAATTAGTTTCAAAAAGGATTCTCTGTTTGAATCCTATATTCCGAATGCAGCCTCACAAAATTTGTAAGTAGAACTAAATGCTTAATTTTCAAAATCTGATTGTATGTACCGATTTGGGCTTTTTAATCAAATATTTTACCAATACGTTTTAAATATTTGCAGGTGTATTGAAGATTGTGGTGAAATGAAGTTTGGTCGTGTATCAGTTTAAAATGCTGAAATATATTTCACGGTTTACGAGGTTTTATCGTTATCGTGTTTACAGGTATGTCGAACTTTATGTTTTAAATGGAACTGTCTATCTCTACCTTCAGCCAAAAAATTATTTTGTTAAAATGAACACCTAATTGATTGCCTATCATTTTTAGGATTTCCTTATACTTTTGTGGATGCATGAATACATCCAAATGAACCCCAGTTTTTGTAGTTTCATATCAATGAGAACGGCTGCTAAGACTTACTAAAATCACTTCATTTGTTCGTGTTAGGAGTACTACGGCAAATTTCTTGTACGTTGTAACATTAATGTTTAAACACTAAATTTAATGTACTTTATTCGCTGAATGCGGGTTTCTGCATGTAACTTTGAAGAGCACTGTCTAGTGTTTAATGATGTTATTTAACTCCCGAAATCAGAATGGTTAAGGAGAGGTTTGGAACTTTTCTGAAGAGGGGGAAGGGTCTAAAGGAGGCGTTTTTTCACTGAAGCACCTGCTTTTTGCTATTACATTCAACCCAACTTGTGGGTAAATGATGTTCATATTGATGTAATAACTTGCCGGGTAGTTCTACAAAACACAGCAGTCATTCTACTTAAGTATGTAAAACCGTGTTATCACTTCCTGCTCACACAGACACTAAGAAAGTATCTTTTCCAAGGGCCCTGAAAATGAAACTTGATTGAGGGGGAAAGTTTTGCGGTACATAAATTGTATCCTCATAGCTTGAGAAATTTCTGCTTCAGGCTCACCACTCACAACTTCGTGAGTTTTCGATGTCTTAGCTCCTTACTTTTAGGACCTCACCATTAGCACCGGAAATAAGATGTACTATTTCTCGGTCCGGCCTTTCCGGGTCTCTTTTTTCGTTTTCAGTAGGCCGCATTGATGGAGATGCTGGCTATTCGTGGGGAACGTCTTACTTCTACTATATACCAATACAGTCATCACTATAGTTCCGCTGTCGGACTTTAAATTTACTACCTATAGTTTTATTACTCTTCGATGTAACGAACAGCAAGTCACTTTGCCTACAAAGTAATAAGTTTGTTAACTATATTACTGTTAAAATAGAGAAACCCATGTTATTTAAACTCTAAAACATTTATTTTTATTTATCAGTTTATTGTGTACTCAATCTAGTCCTCGAATTTCGCCAACATTTACCAAAACTTTGTCTCTTACTGTATCATTTACTTGGTGGCCATTGGAATTATGGAAAAATAAAGATATACACGAACAGTGTCAACAACTATTCAATGATTCGTTATTTCATATAGCTACGGGTGAATTCAGTGTGGCAAATGATAAATTACATGAACTACTGTGGTTTGTCAACCAGTCTTATCAAAATCATGAGTTAACCAATCGCGAATACATCGATAAACGTGCACGGATATGTTCCGAGATGGCAAATCTAAATCTCCTTATGGGAAATTATTTAGAAGCAGAAAAATTAATTAAACAGACAATGGAGGATTGTTTAACAGCCAAAATATCACCGAATGATGCTATGTTTATTGAGCTGTCACTTAAAATGTCCATGCTTTTCGAAAAGTCTGGTAGATTAGATGATGCTGAGAAGGGTTTTCGATTTTGTATAGAAAACCAAGAGGAAAAGTTAACAAGTTTCGATGAAAGTATCGACCATATAAATGAAAAAGCTTTACTGGGAATGTGTTGTAATTATTTCGCCAAGTAAGTCCTGTTAATGGTTTTTGTAAATACAATTAAATGAGACTCTTCATGGTCATTTGGCCTGTCCAGTTTAGGTTGGTATATATTTTTTAATGATTTTTCCCGTGCTGATAGTATAAGTTAAATTATCGTAAAAATATTTAGCCGTCAATTGAAATATTCAACAATGAATTTGATTGCATCCTCTGGGCTAATCAATTTTAGGGGCTTTTTACTGGATGCGTAATTTACCAATTCCGGATTTAAATGACCAAAAGCATCAAATGTCTAGGTTTCGAGATTAGTTTTTTTTCGTAATGAATCGTTGAGCTATCATTGTTTTGATGTCGAATGACTTATTGGGTTGACTCATGGGGCTCCATCTACTAACGGCGTTCTACTGCGTTGTGGAATAGACCTCTAGGTCAGATGCTCGGAGTGTAGCTCCCTGAGAAAACCACCTGCTTCAGTTTGAGGACCCGTGCGGTATTCCAGCCCTCATACTAATCGAATAATGAAGTGTGGCGCATATATATTTGGTGCCTCCTTGTACCAATGTGTATGTGTTTAAATAAATAAAATACAAATTGAAACAAATAATGTTTCATTTGTACGGTAGATCTAGTAAACAAAGTGTAGCTAGCCAATAATTCCAAATTTTTGCACATTTTATTATGTCTTGCTAGAATGTTCAATGAATAATATTAAATCTTACAAAGCTTACTTAAAGCTGTTCTTAAGGCGTGTATACAACGAAATGTCAGCCATACATACGCTACTCGTATAACAAATAATAAGTGATTGGTTTATATGCAAGCTGTATATTCTGTAACTCAATATGTTTTTCTTTTTCGGTCAAGAACAAGCGTGAATTTGGTACACTTTTCACCATAAATCAAATTTCAAATTAAATAAAGCAAGAACAAATATTGGTGCAGAATAGTATGAATTCATATTATTTCGAGGTTTCTCGTCAGCTGCTTACAAACCAAAAATGTGATAGAATTTTTACATTGAGATAGAGTGAAAATAATTGACATAGATGAGTGTAAATAACTGGGTTACAATAATAACTATATATATATATATATATATATATATATATATATATATGCTAGAACAGGTCAGAGGTCAAAAGGAATTAATTCAGGTTGGGTGATGTAATAATGGAATTGAATAATCATAAGATAGGTTACGTAATAATAATTAAATAGAATTTGAAAAGTTAAAATAATTTAAGAGGATCAGGTGGTGGAAATGTGTGAATAATAATGTGGTTTAAGAATTATGTAATAGGGGAGGAGTATAAATAGCTTAAAATGAATGAAAAAAGGGTTACCAGGGTAGTGATAAGTCTATTAAAGTCTCTTTTTGAATGCATAAGTCCGGTTTAAGTTTTTGATCATAATGGCTTCAGCAAAACGAAGGGTGGTCGTACTTCTTTGTTTATTGATAATTTTGAAAGCATGTGGAATGTCGATGGTGTGTCCGGTGTCAAGTAGATGTCGAGCTATTGCGCTGTTGAAGGCCTTATTCCCTCGCAGCCTCAAGCTTTTTGGAACGTGCTCAGAAATGCGGACATGCACTCTTATCTCAGTTCTTCCAATGTATGTGCTTTGGCACGAACATGTGAATTGGTAGATGCAGTTGGAGCTACTAAGAAAAGAGGGCTTGTCGATTTTGGTTTGTTGAAGTGAGCAGTTCGTTTGCCATACTGTCATAAGTTTTGCTGCTGGGTAGGTGACTTTCAACGCAGAGTTTATTCTATGATTAATTATTCCAGCAATTTCATCACCTTTGAAACGTAAGTGTAAGAAGCAGGTTTTCCTTTTTACTCCATCGTATTTTGTACGAGGATCGCTTTTTGCATACTTCTGGATAAATTTCAATGGGTTATTATTCATAGCTATGGAAAATTGCGTCCAATTACTTACATATTTATTTTTAATTTACAGATTTCTCTTTGCTAATCAAAGACAAACAGAAGCTTTAGTTTATGCTCAACGAGCTTATGAAATTGCCAGTCAAATTTATCCTTTAGACCATGCAAACTGTTTAAATTTATTAATTGATATTAGCGTTATCTATGCTGATTTAAATGTATTTACAGAGTCTCAACGTATTCTTGAACAAGTTATTCAAACAAGTCAAACCAAGTATCAATTTTTCATTGATAATTACTCTAACGATAATGAACTACTGAAATCAAACGTTTCAAAACAACGTGAAATGCATGAAATTGTGTATACTCTAATACATTCAATATTACAATTAGCCGTTGTTAACTTAATGTCGAAAAAACTAGAATTTGTGAACCAGTTATTATTACAAGCTGATCACATTATTAATCAAATTGATCAATTGGGTTTAAAAGTCTCTACGCACCGTAAACTTATTAATGATTTCAAAATGGAACATCATTTTCAAATCTAGAAATGTTTTCGACTCCCTCATCTTTGTTGTTTCTTTCTTCAATTTTGTATAGAGATTTATATGAATGTATTTTAGAGTGAGTTATATTATAAATGACTGAAATTGTATATTTGAGTGACGTGACAAGGTTACTTTCTTATGTTCACGATAATTGCTGCAAATCATTCTTTTTTCATACCTATTTATCATTATATCTTGTTGATAAGTACCGCTTAAATGCTCTTTATAGTTTTACAATTCAGTTTGTTTTACTATTATGAGTCCGAAATCCCTAATTCCCTTCATAACCTTTGCTCTTTTCTGGCTGGGTACTTTATGATTCAGTGTTACATCATTTGTTACAAGATCACTAACATAGATTATATTTTCAAACAAGTACAGTAATACTACTTCTTGTAGGTAAAATAAAACTATATACAAAATGTCAGCTTGTTAGGTATGTATATTAATAACGTTTGTTACATCCGAAGAATAAATGAATGGTAACTGCTAGGAATTATTTATTTATTTTTATTGGGTAACTATAAGAAACTAGAATATATGTATTCGTATCCCTTCTATTATGAGCTTTCATTTGACCTTTTGGCTACTGCAATACGACTTACCACTCTTAACTTATTCCCGATTTATCAGTTGCAGTATCTCACACAAACACTTTTGACTTTATCTTGCTTAATTATTATTCCTCATTTTATGGTGTGATGTAGTCTGGTCTGCTTGTATATAAGCCTAGTATATCTGAATCATACGATTCAGTAAGAGTCTGAAATCGTTTTCTGGACTGAACGGGCTGGGTTAGGTGAGGACCAATAAGGACTCGGAGTTGACTCAAGGCTATTCGTGCTGTATAACGCATCATTAGTTTAGCACATGGACAAGGTCATATAAGTCGGTGTTCTGGTTGACGGTTTTGTCACGTGATATTTGACGGGCCATAGGACATAACAACGTTTGAAGTACTGTTTGCCGTGTATCGTTACGTCACATTAGGTTGATATCATTTGTAGAGTTAGCGTTTGAACTCTCCATCATTAGGCATGAAATACGTGACCTTTGATTAACCTGTTCAGACATGTTTTTGATTGATCAAATACTATTCTTATTGTTCCGTTGTACTATTTAAACTTGGATTAATTCTAATTTTAATATTCTCTGAAGAAGTGACTTATACTAAACCACGAAACGTCAGAAAATCTAATTTCCTACTCATTGGGATATCACAAATATATTATTTATTTAATAGTATAGGAAATTAACGGTAAGTTGGATGAATTATTAGGATATATATATTTCATATTTACAGATTATTTATTATTACTAGCTGTATACAAAGTAGGTTTCCTTGTACAAGTGGTGAGAAACATACATAAATCATTACTTGTTTGTACTTCACACTCTGACTCTCGTAATATCCAACTCTTCGACGTTATCCTAGTTGGAGAGAATTCGTCTACAAGATAACATATATTGAGAAATAACCTCTTTAAAATAAGTGAAAATATTATATTAACTTATTCAGAAATAGTGATGTCCTGGTCAAGCATGTAATTATTTTAGTGTGCGGTTTAAGTAGTAAATTGTGCTGAAATATTTAATATTGTCCTCTCTTACTCATAAATATGCTAAGATATTATCTAATGAGTGTTTTGTTCTAGATTATTTAGTTTATCAAACATAAATTTATCGTTTCCTAGACCATTATTACTTCATATATTGTGTTAATTTATCATTTCAAGTTGAATCGTTCTAGTCACATGCTAGAAACTCTAAACGAAATGATTTCCGTGTTTAAGCTATATTAGCTTCAACAGTCTTTACTAATGCTACTTCAACACAAGCTAATCAATGTCGTAAAGAATTCATATGAATTCAAATAAAAGATCTCAGAGTTATCTATCAACAAGAACGGAACACTGGTATGATGTATCTTTATACACAGCATTCCAGTCGATAGATTTCTTAATTTCGTTAATGATTTAATAGAGAATGATATTACTTTATTTCGCAGATGTCCATTAAGCATTAGTTTAATCATGAAATCCCTCAAACTGCTTAAATGTAACACTTTTCAGCTTCGAAGGGACCTTATATAAACAAACGAATGGAGTAGCTATGGGACATCCAGTATCCCCAATTGCTGTAAATTTATTTATTTCCCACATTGAGTCGCTTATTCTTGCCAGTACCATCAGACCACTCATCTGGCTCAGATATATAGATAACACAAATGTCCTCTTTAAAAAGACTTGTTAGCAATTTCTCCAAACACATAAACACGCTCTCAGAACACATCAAATTAACTTTCGAAATGAAGATGAGCATGGTGAACTACCTTTCTTCGACAGTTCAGTTAAAAGTAATTCTAATGATAGTCTCAATCTAACCATATACCGAAAACCGACACATTCTAATCGGTATATCGATTTTAAGCCTGCACATCCATTCGGTACGAAAATTTCCCTAGCCCTGGATCTCTTCAGAAGAGCAACCAGGATTATTACTTCAGAAGAGACAAACTAAAAGGAAAAGAGAATACAATAAACATCCTACGTTTTAAAATTTTCCCTAAGAATATTATCAAAAACTTATCAATACAAAATTGTCCATCTGTAAATAGCAATCTTAATGAAAGGTCTGCCCCCAAATGCCCTGGTACGGCCGAGAGTGGGGGGAGTTCGCTCTCCTTCTCGAAATGCCCTCACATGACCACGCGTATATAGCCTCTGCCAGGGAAGTCCTACTCACTGCCTTCTCGTGGCGGGGGTGTTGTTTACGAAAATGAGAGGACAAAAAGCGAATGTCCGGCGCTTTAACCGGATTCCAAATTAATGGTGCACGTAGGCTCCAGTATCCTGCGGGAGCAAAAGGCGTATGAACCAATTGTTGGTCACCGGATTCCATGGGACTGCATCTCCTTACGATGCTCCACTGCCTTGTGGATCAGACCTTCAGGTCAAAGGCTCCGGGTGTGGCCCCCTAAGAAAACCACCTGCCTCGGTTTGGGCATCCGGGCAGTATCGCAGCCTTCACACATCGAATGAGATTTGTGTGGCGCATATGTATTTGGTGCCTCCTTGTACCAATATCTATGTGTTAAAATAAATAAATAATGAAAGGTCTTGGATTAGTACTGTGGTTTTACCTTGCCGCCAAGGTACGACGGAGGAACTATAATAGTTATTGAAAACGTACAAAATTAAAGCTTTCTATAAGACAATCAACGCTCTAAGAAACGCTGTAGTTAGAATAAAAGATACGGTCCCGTTCACTTCCACACAAAATTGTGTCTACTGGTCAGGCTGTATCGATGCACTCTATATTGGAGAGTCTTCCCGTGAAATCTCGATTATTTATTTATTTATTTATTTGAACACATAAATATTGGTACAATAGAGTGCCAAAGAGCACTTAAGTTACATAAAAAGACCTAATAATCATATAGAATTGGGAAATGTACAGATTAAATTAGCAATATCAGTACATGTTATTGTAAGTAGTCACCAAATTGATATTGAAAACATCAAAATAATTTAAAAGCGAGTAGCCGAAGTGCTACACATTACGCTAAATTCCTCTGCACTCAATAGGAAAGGTGGTCTGGGTATTTTTCATACTTCTTCCATTCGGTTTTTTTTTAAAAAAATTTCAAATTTTGTTTTTGTTGTTTTTGGACTTTATAATTTCTCAACATTCATCTCTTGATTCTTACGTAACTGCTATTCTATTAACCATCCATTAAAAAACTCTGTTCCTTCTCTCCTTTTCATATATTATGCAACGTAGCAACTTCTTGATTTATTAACTACTCTGAATATTAATAATCCTCTTTCTTCCAATTACTCAATGTTAATTTAAATGTCACTATGTAATTATTACGTAACGTATCCACTCGATGAGTATTATATCATTATTGTAAATCATATATATATATATATATATATATATATATATATATATATATATATATATATATATATATATATATATATATATATATTAGTGTAGAGCCATGATGAAAAACTAATTGAAAAGAACTTTCTTCGCTCAATTCGTCCCTTCTGATCTGGAAGTTGAAGAATATTCATTCAGAAGAATTATGACGCCTCTTGGTGAAAGCCGAGATTCTTCGAAAGTCATGAGGCTGGTGCCTCTTCTAACAACCAGAGCAACAATTTAAATATGTACATGGAATGCCCGGAAAATAAGTGAGACCGGTAGGACTAACCAAATAGCTGCAGAAATGGGGAAATACAACTTGATGGTTCTCAGAATCAGTGAAATCCATGGGATTCAAGCTGGACAGAAAAGGTTAGATTCGGGAGATTTCGCTGTACTCGGGTCACGAAGAGGAAAATGCTCCACACACACACACACACGAGTTGCTCTGATGCCGTCCAAAGAAGCACGTAAAACACTTAGACGATGGGAAACTCATGGATCCAGGATCACCTAAGCATCTTTTAAAACAAAGAGAAACGGAATCACAATGAATGTTATCCAGTGCTATACGCCAACCAATGATAGCAATGAAGATTATAAAGATCAGTTTATGAGAGGCTGCAGTCGATCGTGGAGAAATGCCCAGGAAACGACCTGATCATCATGATAGGAGACCTGAACGCCAAAGTTAAAATAGATAACACCGGGTATGGAGATATTGTGGGACGACATAGACTGACTGGAAGAATGGAACGAAAATGGCGAGAGGTTTTCAAATGTGTGTGCCTTCAACAAAATCGTTATAGGTGGCACTATCCCCCCACAAGCGCAAACAAAGCCATATGGGTCTCACCGGATCACACTACAGAGAACCAGATCAATCGTGTTTGCGTCACCAAAAAATCCTGAAGGTCGATCGAAGACGTGAGAACAAAGAGAGAAGCTGAAAGAACACGAAGAAAGCAATTAACAACAGCCGAACAAGAGCAAAGGAAGTCAAGACACAAGCTGAATGCACAGAAGCAAACAAGAGTGAAGAGGAGCATTAAACTCGACAAGCAGAAATACGTGGAAAACCTTGCAATAATATAGGAAAAAGCTGCAAGAGGAGGAAATATGAGACAACTTTGTGATACAACGAAGAAAATAGCATGGAAATATGGTAAACAAGAGCAATTTGTAAAGAACAAAGAAAGCAAGCCAATCATTGGCATTCAAGAACAGTGAGACGGATGGGTAGAACACTTTGAAGAATTCTTGAATAGATCAGCCCCACTGAACCTACCGGACATCGAGGCAGCACACACAGACTTTCTTACAGAAATCAGCATGGCTATCAGACAAAACAACAGTGGAAACTCAGCAGGATATGGCAACATACATGTTGAAGCACTGAAGTCAGACATAGAAGTAACTGCAAAGATGCTCCACGTTCTATTCAGGAAGATTTTGGAGGAAGAAAAAGTGCTGACAGACGAGGATGAAGGATACCTCACTAAGATATCAAAAGACATGTTAGCAAGTGTGAGAACTACAGAGGTATCACACTACTATCAGTGCTAGGAAAACTTTTCAACAGGGTATTGTTGAACCGGATGACGGATTCAATAGACATCCAACTTTGAAATCTACAGGCTGGATTCAGTAGGAATCGGTCGTGCATAAACCAAATCGCGACACTACAGATGATTGTTGTGCAATCAATTGAATCGAACTGGCCACTATACATCAACTTCTTTGACAATGAGGTAGCATTTGACAGCGTGCATAGGAGAACCTTATAAAACGTTCAGCACTATGGCCTGCCTAGGATCATCAACATCATATGGAATCCATACGAAAGAATATACTGCGAAGTTGTGCATGAAAAACAACTGACAAATGCATTCGAAGCGAAAACCGGTGCCAATTAATACTGCTTAATTTTACCATTTCTCTTTTCTAGTGGTCGATTGGATTATGAAGACCACATTTCATTGGAAGCACGGAATACAATGAACAACTTGGATGCAGCTAGACGAATTAGACTTTACAGATACTTTAATATCTGGTCTTTCATTCATAAAATCGTATAAGTCGTGAATCAAAAGAATATAATAAAACATGGGACTACTCATCCTGACTTCAGCTGTTCTGAATAGAGGATAAGGAAAGGGTAGCGTTCATTTGTGTATCAAGTTTTCGAAATCACAGTATCCGAGGCGGAGTTATTGTAGGTAGCTTCGGGAGATATAGCGATGTCCCCTATCGTACGATGTGCATTAAATAAATGATCAGGCATGATGTATTTTCCAATAACCCTCTTATAAAAGTCTGTGTTGTGGAGATCCAGTGTTTCTTGAAAAAGTCCAGGAGAGATGGGGGCTTAGGACTCTGTGAAATATTTTATCTAATCAGCGTTGAATAAAAACTCAGAAACATTTAGAAAGTGAGAACATGTATCACATTTCTGATTACCTATCCTGCGTTTATGTTTAGCATGGTTCAAGGACCTTCCAGAAGACAAAGGCCATCTGAAATACTATAATTACCCTTGATTTTATGTACACAAACTGACCTTGCAGTAAAGGGTTCTTTTCACACTTCACGCCTTTCCCTTCATGATCAAGTTGCCGTGTGGATTTAGCCTGGGGTTATTAGAAGAACTTAGGAAACCGATTCAATGGTTCATTTAGGAGACTTATCAGTCTGGTTATTAGTGGTTCCATACAGTTTAGTTATCAGCACTGTCACCTTTAATAGTGAAATATGTAAGTACAACCCTGAATGAAGTAGGATAATTTTACCCCATATGAAGAGCATCTCCGAGGTCCTGAATGATTTAATTAGATTATTAGGAACGGGTGTAGACCGCGAGTCGAAAAAATCGTTGCAAACAATATTATGATCAGAATGAAGTTTGAGGAAATTGTAGTGATTTTAATAGTTAAGTTCATAAACTAGACCACCGTTCAAAACCTGGACGGCCGTTTCGTCTTAGCCTGGGACTCAGCAGAGTGCATCCACCACCGCACACGCGCGGCTCGAACCCAGGACCTTCGGTCCCGCACGCAAACGCCAAACCTCTAGACTACTGAGCCGATGTCGTGGATGCACATTGCTAAGTAGTCTCATACCGGGATAAAACGGCTGTCCAGTGCTTTCAGGTTTTCAATTGTGGTCTACCAAACAATATTCTCCAAACCAAAGAAAATCTCAACATCGTTTACAAGATAATTTGTAATAACTAACAAAATCTATATAGTACAATATAGCCGCACTTTTCGTCTGTCTACATGAACACCAGTTAGCTATTTAACGATACGACGTAGGTTCGCTCATAATAATGCAAGTGAATAGCTATAAATATGAGCTCGACGGATGAAACATCAAAATATTACATAAAGAAAGCCAGAGAATATTTAGAAGCCTGGCACTCCAATCAAGTACAAATCAATAGAGACACATCGAAATCCATCAAAGCTTATCACCCAATTAGAAAAAGGACTAACAACAAGGACAAAAACAACCAAACCAAACATACAAGCAACAACCACATCGTTATGAATAACAACTAATCAAATTCCAGAGATACGAAACAAGCTGTTATTCAGTTGTGGGAAACTTTTATTTATCTACTTTTTTCGGAGTACGTACTGATGATCCTGTTCAGATGAATAATGAAAAGGTTTGCAACCAACTATCCAGGTCGGAGTCCACAACATCAATATAGTTTTTCTTAAAAATTTTTTTTCGGGATTATATAAAGCGATTCCGTCTTAACTGAATATAAACGTTTGGGCAAGTAGTTAAGCTTACTTAAACGTACTTATCAAGTTCACCGGAATCCATATTGACATTACAGGTACCTTTAGAATTAATCACATTTTCCTGTATACAACATCTGGAAAGTATTTCCTGAACTTTTTCTTCCTGTATTTATTACAAAACAATAAATTATATAAATAAATTTATCCAAACTTTTCATTATTAGTCATTAACTCAATCAAATCACTGTCCAACACAAAAAAAAACATAATCACCTCCACCCCTGTGTATTCTTGTCTGTAAAAGCATCATAATGAGCACCTATTTGAAATCATTCTCTTTTGCACCAATTAAATGATACAGATTATATAGAATTGAGTTTTGGACATGACAAGTATCTTATAATTATACACACTGTATGAATATGTTATTGAAATAACTATAAATATCATTCAATTTAGTTACTAAAATCATTGACATAACATAAAAATGTCGTACAATTAGAAAGGAATTTATTTAAAAAAAATTATGTTTCACTATTCTTACTTTGATCTGTAACTAATAGAAACTTGATATTTAGTTTTAAAATTTTAATACAAATTAAATTTAAACAAAATAAAAAGTAAGATTTGTTTTGAAATTTTTCATACAAATTAATGAAGTGATATTGTCTATGTAATAAATAACTAGTAGTTAAGTACAATAGTTAACTCGAACAAATATTCACTTAAAGCCTGAATAATTATCTTTACTATTTTCATATATGTATATGGTATTGGATGAAAACAATTATTATTATTATTATTATTATTATTATTATTATTATTATTATTATAATAAACAATAAAGGTGATTGAAAAAATATCATAATAAGCACAACTCAACTTACCCATTTTCTGAAACATCAATTTTATTATATCAATGACAAATAGAAAAGTGTAAAGTATTATTTCATTGTGCAAAGTGTATTAAAAATCTATTATAGAAGTGCGGTATACAATTGCTTTCATTTTATTTGCTAGTGAATAAAATAGAGTTCTTTAATGAAGACATATGATTACAAAAGTAAACTGTCTAAGCAATTCATGAGTATAGGGAAGAAGTTTCACTTACTTATTACTTTGTGTATAAGCTTAACAGCAATTTTTATTATTATCAGGTATTTTGAAACGGTAATACAAAAAAGAACAGAAAAGGACCTATTAAACAGAATACAACTACACAAAACAGTGCATACTATAAACAACAATGATTTCTGACAAAGTGAAGATCAAGGTAAGGAAGAAAACGATCTACTGTACAAAGAAAAAGCTAGATAGTCTAAAAATAAATTCGGCAATGTGATTTTGATATATAGAGACACAACTCATTATAAGACATCTGATGAACTGATTGAGGGTTATTTCAGTTCCTTATGTAAGAGCGACGCAACATCATACAGCATTATTGCAACAAACTTTGAAGGAAAAAAGCATTGGAAATTTCTTGAACAATAATGTTACATTCCAGTGATCTTTATTATGATTGGCAATGCAATATAAATATATAATCTAAGCGCTGGTCTTACAATTTTTGTCTTTTCCTACTAATTGGTAAATAGATTTAATCTGTAATATTTTGTTAACTCACTGGAGATTGGTCTAAATCTTTAGCATCTAAAGCTTCATTAACAATTTAATTTTTTAATTACTTCGAGTTCTCTATAGATATTCTCACTAGGAATGGTAACTCACAGTTGTACATGTCCACTTATTTAAAACAAAATATTTAGCATCATCGGTTTGTTGTCTAATTTTTATGCGAAAAAGAGTGAAGAAGATACCATATACACATCGTATAATAATACACGTGTTGTGATTTATAAAGTGGCGTTTATTATCTAAGTTCTGTCAAGGACATGAATTTTCCATATATTGACTAAAAAACAGTTCGAACTTAATTTATTTCCATAGTGTGATGTCAGGTACATGTATTTCCTTTCAGTCCAGTAATTTTATGACATATGGGTTGTGAAGTAGTTATTTGTACAAGTAATCTATTTAAACCTCAAAAATTACCGCGAAACTATAATTTATGAACAAACCAATCAGATTTAGGATAACAGGTCTTGGATTTTGGCGCGAAATCCATTCAACCATTTGTCTAAATAGTGTTTTGACATTTTGGTTGATGTCAGTTCATGATGAAAACCATAAATCTAATCTTTAACCTTAACTATCAACTGTAAATCACAATCCTTATTCTTCAAACTACTTTATCACCCTCATTTAGCTCTAGTAATTAGGTGTATATTTTCAAGGTTTACTAAGGCGTCACTCAAATGTCGTCTAAAAATTTTCATTATATTGATAGATGACTACATTTAAAAAAAATCAGTATTTTGATTGATCTAATTGAACAAAAACTTTTTAAATGGATCATTTAAGATTGATCATTTAAAATGCCGCTAAAATAAAATATAATATTACGTAAATAATTAATCCATTGACTATATTTTAATAAATGAAAACATGAACAGAACTATCCCTGAAATTTCAAATTCGTAATGATTCTTAATCATTTGGTGTTAATTCATTTAAATCAATATTTAATTGTTCAATATTATTAGATGAATTCTTCCATAATTTAGTATAACGAATCAAAAATAAAATTGCATTTAACTAATAGTGAGAGCGTGAAAAATATAGAAATATTCACATAACGACAACAACAATAATAATAACAGTGAAAAAAGTAGAAATTTGGACAGGTGTATGTGTGTATTGGTGTGTGCGGGGGGGGGTAAGCGGGGTTGGAAACAAAAAATGAAATTGATCGATAAGTGTGTCATACAGTAGTACCAGAAATATATAACATAAAAGTTATAAATGGGAGAACATATTCCTTTTAAGAAAGTAATTTATTACTGTACATCTAACATGGAGGGATATTTCAATTAGATATGTTTAAAACTACTTAAGAATTCAGTGATTTTAAGTGCTGTTTACTTAGAATAGATATGACTAGATAGTGTGTTCTAGAAATTACAATTCTATGACATATTTCTAAGCAAAAGATGTACAACATTTAAACTTAAGTTTCTTAGTATCGCAAATAAATTAAACTATAGAAAAATATAATTTTTGAATTCCCCAGTCATTTTATTTCCAAGGTCGTTGCAAATTAGACACATTCGAAAGATTGTAGATAATTTGGGCGAATGAAGTTCAAAGATTGGTTATCTTCAGTTTTATTAAATAGATGTTATTTTTCAGTCACAACAAGATAACTAAGCATGTCTATTTATGAGAATTACGTCCAAAAAGCAATATTCAAACCCAGTTATTACTTAAATTTTAAATTGAAATCGGGAAATAGTGTTCCACGTATTACAGCGGTTCTTATGACTTTTAATATTTTCAAAACATTTCAAAATTACTCTTAAACTTCATCCCATTTATATACAAAACACGTATTCGAAATCAAAATTAACAATATTGAGTGCGTAAAAGTGCTGGAATGGATGTTTAATTTACTTTTGGTTGTTCACACTCTGTCAGCTGGAACGCCTAAAACTCTCCTGAAGTTTGTGATTACTTGACAGCAGTAAATGTTTGTACACTTTTGAAAATGGATATTCCACCAAACCAGTTTTGCCAAAGGTATTTCAGATATAGTGTGTATTATTTATTGATGTGTACGATACATATATCAGTCATTGAATGGTGATTACGTTTATTTGATGGATGAGAAATCTGTTATACAAGTTACTTTAAATGTAACCACATTTTACTATAAATAACAGTATTCACTTGTTTTAAAACTACAAGTTACTCTCTTTAATTAGATCATTGATAATGTATGTTCTAAATGAGTATGAAATATTCAACTGTCAACAGATAGTACATCTATTTAATTATTACATATTTACTCATTCTTACTAAAAGCTTCTGAAGCTTAGACGTTTTTTATGAACCCGTTAGAATATAAGAAAAATTAAGAATAAAATTGCTTCATATTTACCATAGCTTACCTCTTCAAAACTAATTTTTTGGATTTGAGCAAGTCGAGTTTCAATTTCATTGAGGCGTTTTTTTACTTCACGAGTTTCTTGGTATTTACTGAGTGCATATTCTCCTGGGCGTATAGATTCGTTCAGGATCTTCGTATAAATAATGTATAAACAACATATTACACTAATTAGTATCATTAAAGAAGGAAATGATATTTAAAAAATTCTCAACGATTAACATAAATGTAATTCCCCACCTTAGTGTCTTACATTACCTTGGTGCACAACTATTGTGAAACTATTCATTGAAATTTTGACAAAGGTTCTTATTAATTAATATTAATCGAAAAATCTAATTAAGTAAATAATTTTAGAAAAATACATTGATGATAAATTAATAAATATTTATCAACCAATAGTATAGAATTGAAGTATTGAGTGTAATAAATCTAATAGATCATAAGTGCTACATTTACATGAAACTTCCTTATTTGAGATTTCGACAATCCAAACTATCGAATCCTCATACATTAAAATAAGATGTATATTGAAAAAAAGTTAATTCATCAAGAAGAATAGGTTCTGTTTAGTGAATAAATTTTCTAAAGCGTAAGTGCTAACCAACCCCTATGATGTGACAAGACTGATGACCGTCATTCTTCATAATCATAAAGGTGTTTGTGAACACTTGTTATGACACCTAATGGATATAGTAACAATGATGTACGCACCATATATACATTGACAATTTTGGTTTTCAGAAAGAAATAATAATGTTAAAATTATAGATTTTGTGTTTGCATTATCGACTACCAAAAGAAATTTATATATGGAATTTTGCAATGAACTAAGGTTAATTACAAAAACCAATGGACGTCGTTTGTCTTTTATTAGTAACTTGACTAATATCAACATGCACAGCGAAATCATCATTTTTCGTCAAAATGCTTCAAGTGTCAAGGCACAATCTGAAGGAAGTATCGAGCATTTGTTTCGCGCAACTTGACATTGATGCTTATAATGTGATTTGAACTTGTAAAAGATAATATCACAAACACAAACTGTATCAATGTAATGCAATACGTTGTGATAAAACATTATTTCATAGGTATTTTCAAACAATACCTTGTTTTCTTCTTCAGTTGATCTTAAAGAAGACAATATTTGTGATGTATTTCCATTGTCTATTCTCCTTTGAATTTGAAACTTTTCAAGCTGTTCATCGATTTCATTTAGACGACATAACATTCCTAGCAATTGATTATCTGACTGTTGGCAATTTTCTTTATACATTAACTGATTAACTGAATTACGTTTATCGTTTGTAGGATTCTGATCATCATCATTATTTGATACAGGCTCATCTAAACATGAGCCACTTCTCTTGGTTCTATTTAAATATAGCTGTAATATACTGCCCATATTGTCTATCGACAGTAATCTATCATTATGAATTGAGTCACTAGATTCTTTGTGCTAAAATGAAATGAGAAAATCTAAAACATTTAGTATGAATCCAAGCAAGAACAATAAGATTTGTAGAGAAAAAATTCTTCATTTGCATTCAAGGCTTCGCATCAGGTGCAAACAGCCAAACGTTATATACAGTAATATGATCAATCACAAAGGTATGACATTATGTTATGTTTTTAGTATAAACCAAATCACGTGACTACATAAACGATTATCTAACTGTTTTATGAGAAACAAGATGTCCGTGAGAAAAAGAATGTTAACAACAATTAGTTATAACATTATAGTTATTACTTTATATATAATTCATCCGGCTATCTATGACATTAAATATATAATGTTATCCGTTCAAAGGATAATTTACTTCTGGTATGAAATTCAACAGATAAAACGGTTGACAACTGACCATCGTTTTAGGAGACTGAAACTAGTAATACCTCCTTAACCTCACCACAAAATATGTTATTACCATTTTATATTTAAGCAAACTTTGAGAGATAACAGATACATTTGACAATTTCAAGTGTTCCATGTGACCTACTTTAAAAAAACACTTGTATGAAGGAAACGAAGTTGAATTTACTTACATCTGATTGACCGCCAACCTAAAAATTCGTTATTCAATGGTTTATGAAATGATCAAAGATCATTAAGAAATGATGGATCATATGAATTGAACTGTGATTAGTTGTTAAATGAAAACGGACAGCTCGTCTGTAATTTATGATATAAAGAAGTATTTCTACAGATTGTGCGGGGAGTCTTATTTTCAGAAATTTTAAACAAATAGTGTTGGAACAGGCGTAACTGGATTTTTGTTAATTTTTTTTGTCATGTCATACAATCCCAAATCAATTATATAAGGATTCACGTTTGAGTAAATTGCAACTAAATATCTCAAATCTTATTTGACTGACAACATCATATATAGATAATTGTCAAGAGGAACTAGTAAATTTAATCGAATTGCACACTTAGACTACATTTATGTCATAATGCTGACTTCTTTTTTGGGTTTCACTATGTGTTTGCATGTACTTCTGTTATTAAGACCATCGTCTACCAAAAAGTTTGATTCTCAATCGTTGGTCAGGATTGTGTAGTTGTGTATCACGTGATCCAACGCATCTCGTCCGTTATTCAGTCGATTGCTATTGTGCTATTGTATTTTGTATCAGAGGACAAAACATTTTTCGTGTTCTGTTAAACATAAAGGAAAGAATGTTTTAAAGCAGAAATCTCCGTATTGAGATTCCATCGTCAGAGTTACCAGCAAAGCGAATAGGAATTTTCTAGTTTAGTTGGATGACCGTAGACTTTATCATGAACATATTGGATCCCAAACTAAATATGGAAAAGAAACTTGCTCAACTTTTACTATTACCATGGTTGTAATGCTTAGTCATACAAATCTCTCCTTCCCTTTCCACTTTTATTTGCCTCGAGCCTGCCAATCCGTATTTCTATGGCTTTTCTAATTGCATTTCCTTTTCAAAACTAAATTATACCGCTTTATAATCTATTTCAGTAATTATTAATGCTTATCTCGATTTTATATGGTTATCGATTAGTTTCTAAGATCAATCTCATTTCGTTTCACGGTCTTTGAATAAGTACAATTTCCTTTCTTTTTTCTGTTATAATGTTCAAGCAATTATTGCAAGTTACAAGCACGTAATTAAATTATCATCCAAAAAACCCAAGTGTTTGAGGTTGTACAGATTTAAGAAGAAATGTCTTCTAGATTGAATGCTACTTTGTTAATATCTGGTCGTCGCTCATTATCATGTCGGAATCGCTTATCACTTATACTCAAAAACGAGGAAACACTGCATTTCCCACGACGCGAAAGTAAGAACACAAGACCGGTACAAATGAAGATTTACGAACCCCGAAAAACGACGACGACGTCTTAACAAGAATAATATCACCGAAAAGAGATCTCTTTCTTGAATCCCTTTCTCATGACTTACATTCATTTATCTTTCACCAAAGCTGCTAAGTAAATTATTGCTTAATGTATAGTTTACAATATTTAATAAACGTGAAGATCATCAACCGAAAAACAAGGAGTCATTGAATTTGAAGTGTGAACTCTTCTTCATGGTTCATAAATGAAATTTATTATTGGGCTGGAGATATTTATTACTTTATGACACTCTACTTTGGGAAAGTAACACAATCAAGAAGTAGTTACTCAGTGCATCCGATATTCTAAGGATCTTTTGAAAATATAATATGGTCAAATCAATACAAGATATTGAATTTGGAAAATGTAACTTCTGTCATTTTCTTGTTTTGACCACATTTCACTGCAGAAGATAAATGAAGTGAGTTCAAACATGATGTTACTAAAACGATGAAATACACTTTAATGAGTGTTTTGGATGCTATGAAGCGTCAGTAAAGACCAAAATGGCAAGTTCTAATTCTGTTGACCTACACTATCTAACTATTACGAAGATAAGAGAGATTCAAAAGTCTGTTTCAAAATACAAATCGTCTCTGCAACACTTATTTTCATCTTTTTCTATTGCCTTGAAACCTATCAACCTAATGAAAATGTACTGTGAAGTAGAGAAAATCAGTATGCTACAGATTTTCATTTAATCATCTAATGTTTTACTGCTATGATATTTGTTCTAAAATTTCTCAATCTTCAGTTTTGGGTTTTGTGACGATTACAGAATTTTCATAGATTTAATTGCGAAATGATCTTATCTAGACAACTATTAAAAACCTGGAAACACTGAATGGTTGTTTCGTCCTAGTATGGGACACCTAAACAATGTACATCCACGTATCCGTATCCACGAGTTGAACCGAAGACCTTTGATCTCGCTCTCGAAAGCTCAACGTTTAAATCACCGAGCCGAGATCCAATGATGCAGAAGTCCAACTTCAGTCTACTCACCATATTAGAGACCATCTTATATCGCCTGTGGTTGTTGAACTTCTTTGGTCATGGCTTCTAACTAAAATTCCATGAATTTCATCTTGGAGTCGAGCGTACGATTATTATCAGTATAGGGCTTTTCAAAATAAAATTCTTCATTTAACAATAAAAATGTTTTTAGCAAGTTCATCTCATTACTTGTGTAACCGCTTCACTTTTTGAACGTAATACCTTCCAACTCTTTTCGATAGTATCTCTCTTTGAAGACTTTTAGGCCAAGAAATATTCCAATTTTTCATCTTTTAAATCCCCCATTTTAGTTTATTCATCACTATATATATGTGTAATCGATCCTGTGGGAGCAATCTGCCTGTACATTTTTGGTGGAGTTTTGTTCTCTGAGCTGGATGGTTTGGTTGTGGAGCTTTCATCGTTATTCTGAACTTTAAGCACAAACCTGGAGTTTGTACTGACGATGTCATTCAGAATAACGATGAAAGCTCCACGATCAAACCATACAGCTCATAGAACAAAACTCCACTAAAATCATCCACCTGAGCTACAAATCTTCTCCTCTGTCTGTACATTATTTTGCATTAATATAAAAAATTGGAAAAAAATTATTTACTATGGCAATATTCATTTCATTTTGAAGTATATCATTCTGTTTGACAATTTGCATTTCTTCTTCGTCTTCAGCTAGAATTTCTTCTAGTCGTTCTTTATCTTCAATTGTCATTGGAATTATATCCTTCCAATGTGATGCAAGCTATTAAGACAATTATTCAATATGAAAAGATTTATAATGAAAAAAAGATCGACGAGATTATAATTTATGGACGACTTATGAATGAATTTTAAGTGACCTTGGGGGATACTAGCCAATTATAAAACAGTTAGTATAGAGTAAAAATATACTATACAAAACCAAAAAATTAGAGCGAATGCACTTCTTTAACATGGTTTAAAAAATTTCCAAGGTTAGAAAGAGCCTCTGCAGTTCTGAAATCGTAATACATACGATACAGGAACTCATCCATGTGACTCCATAATAGTCGACCTCTGGAGCCATGATAAGGTCGCGAAAATTCTTTTAGCCTCGACCACATTGCTTCTATATTAGTGTGTACTCTGGTGGTGGGGTCCATAAAATACCGCTTATGGACGACGACATGATACACGTAACCAAGCCCATGTAAGCATCGATATGCTCTCCAGTCATCCGTGTATATTGTGGTATCCGGCTGCGCATATTCTCGTATAATTGGTAGTATCGTTGTGGACAAACGGTTTCTCACCCTCTGAAAGTTCTTTTTTGAGTTGGTCTATCGTATATACCAAGGACATGTTAAGTATATTTATGGAAATGCTACTTACCCAGTCCTCTTTAACACTTCGTCCTCTATTTACCTTGCGCTTTCTAACGGCTGTTTCGTTTAGTTCTACGATTCTTCCAACTCCTCCAAACGACCCATGCAAGATTGTCACTTTTATTGTACATATATCTCGACAATATTCACACCACTGAACTGCTGAAGCTTCGGTAATATATGCAAAAGTCGCAGCCAGTGTTACTGGTTCTTTTATTATCCAGTTTGCAACAATTATCATAATCTCTGAGTCTCAGTCGGGATCGAGAAAAAAAACTTTCCATTCTAGTGGACTACTTCTTCCAACATGTATTACATCGACATACAACATCATCAGATAGTCTGCACATAGTCAAGGAGTCATTTGACTACGGCAATCATAAATAAAGGAATTTCTTAGTAATCTCATTTGTTGCAGCCGCTAAATTATAAAGTCTTCCTTAAAATCCGCTGTAAACCGATCGTACATGAGTATTGGGTACTGAAACAAGCGCCGTGAATTTGAGATCGCTCAAAAGCTTCTGACTGGCTCGTCCATAAATTATAGTCTCACCTGGAAAATGCTTTAGTATTGGATAGATCCGTTGAAATGTTACCAGTGTTAATGAGAAATAAATAATGAGCTTAATATTCCCTAGATAGTTCAACATCAGTAAGTGAATTATTTCGGAAATTTAATATTGACTTATGTTATTGAGTTCCAGTTACTTAGTAGTTAGTAAAGTCAACTGACTTAACAGTGGACTGTACACATCCAGTAGGATTTCTACCTTAGATATGATTAGTTTATTAAGCATCATTCTGAAAAGTTTTAAAAATCAAATTATAATACAAATACAAGTGGACTGTCGTTTTTTGAAGGTGAGATATATGGAATTTAAACTACGGTATAAGAATGATTACTTACAAGTTAGTGTCAACAGTCTTCACATACAAACTCTTAATCCACTTAAACTCCTTTCATAAATTTACTACAAAGTCCTTTTAAACCTTATTCATCTTAAGTGTAGGGTATTGAATAAATGTTCAAAATGTCAGCAAACTGATTATTCGCATTCAGCATTAGAAAATAAACTTAATACTTAGGCTTTATTCATTATTGACCGATTTTTTCAAGCAATTAACGCGATATTAAATGAAGTTATCTAAGCTATTCTCCATCCCATCTCTGGAATAATGACTTTCATTGCCAAACTTTTAAACATAAAATAACCACTTATCATATTTTCAAAAAAGAAACTCAATATTCTCACCTCGATGTTGCGTTTTACGAAATTCTTATTTTGCCTTGATTTACCGTTGAATGAATTAAATAGTGATTCATTAAATGATGTATTTTGATTCCTGAATTGATTACACTGATTGCCTTGCAAAGATGCACTTGAATCAACTTCGATTTCTGCATCGCGCATTGGATAAAAATAAAGAAAAATTTAACTTCATTAATAGGGTAAATATCAACTTATTAATTCAGGGCTAACTGCCAAACAACTGAGTTTCCCACTTAATTTACATTCCATTTGATAAATAACAAAAATCATTAAAAGACTAATTCTATGCTACATGAAAAACATCTCAAAGATCACGAACAGATTGATGAGGACACTAGGAATGTACGTGACATACATACACACAAAATCTTTGCAATCCAAATTATGTAGACCATAGTACACTATGACAAAAGGAAATAGACCAAATGTCATCTATAAAATGAATTGTATCATCTGCGAGAAGCACAAAGTGGACTGTCGTTCTGTCTATGTCTACATGAACATCAGCGTGCAGTTAAATGCCGAGATAGTTTCTCACATATCAATGCACATGGACAAATATGGATACGATTTTGACTGGGAAGACGTTGAAATATTGGACAGAAGAAACACAAAGAAAACCAGAGCATTTTTAGAATCGTGGGACTCTAGCAATGCATAAACCAGTACCAACCCAATAAGAAAAAGGATCAACAACTCAATGGTCAAAGATCAGGTCAGAGGTGAAAATGATCAAAACAGACAGGTAAACAACGGCTACATACCTATGGACAATAGGCAATCAAATTAAAGGTTAACAGAACTATCAGCTTATCAACTGTTGGGATGTTCTGATAACTCACTTCTTATTGAAGTGTGTATAGGTGATGTGTCGATAAAGACAATGGAAGCTTCACCATTAAACTATCCAGGCTGGAGAACAAAACATGATTAACATTCTCATCACGTGCAGTGTTCTCAAAGGCAATAAATATGAACTAGTCCAACCGAGTTATTCAGTCAAGATATTGGAAACTTTATTTTCGATGGCACACTTAAATGTGTAAAATTAATTCTTATCGGAATATGAATTGATTAATTCTTAATAAAAAACGCATATAAGGCGCTAGTAGACTACTGAGCTCAGTACGAATTTCCATGATCTCTGTGGTGTATGAGCGAGAATGATAATGACTGGTTGTTTTTTTAGTCAGACAAATAGGTAGTCTGACCGGGACTAGATGAGTTATATGTCGGTTTTTGGTGTGGAAATTTACCTACGTTCTAGTCAGTCTGGTCACGTATTCTTGGTTTGAGTCGTGTTGTAGTCCTGTAGAATAGATACTAGGAGGGTATCTAGTGTAGATATTCGTTTAAATCAATCAGCGACCCATTCGTGCAGACGAGGAAACCGAGCGTTATAACACTGTCAAATATTAGATCACATTTTATTTACTAGGGTTTAACAATTAAGATGAACTCAGTTATTCATGCCAGCAAGTCAAAGTTAACTTGAATATGATTGTTTTGCTAGGTTTAAGCCTAACGTTTACTGAATTTTGTCACTGCTATTTAAATACCGTGCAATATTACTATATTATCGTGTATATTAGATATTTTCTCAGTACTTCGTTTAATAATCGGTATCCATGATACTGGTTGAGATATCTAATCTCTGAATGCTATTTATTGAAACAGAATATTTCATGAAATTTAGACTTCGGTAGTGGATAAATTTAATCAGTAAATGCAAAGTTCCGCTTCCTTTTTGAGAGGAAGGAGACTTAGCACAGAGAAAACTGATTTTCCACCAGTCTCGAAATAATGCTGCTCGCTTTTACAGCCGTTGACGTTACCAATGAGCAACTTCGATTTACCGAGTTAGATGCACTAACCGACCATTCAAATCACTCTTCATTTAACTTAGTCTCATTAATATTTTTTCGTTATGAGACAATAATCATTGTAATACGTAGATATTTATTATGAGATAGGATGCTACAATTAAACTTGGTCAGTTTTTATTACAGTTGTAACAGTTACTACCACAACATGAAACTACCAAATATTAGTGTAAACAAGGTTTCCTGTGAAGTTGAACACAATAGTAATTCGATATTCCTCCTATCTAAAGCGGTTAAAAACTGATACTAGACATGAACGGGTAAGAAATGCTTATACAGAGCATCTCCCAACTTAGTGTATTCATTCAAAACAGACTCAACATTCGGAATCAAATATAAGGCGAGTAGAGATGCTCCGGCTACAGTACACTTTCGACTTCGTTGCACGGTTCAGATATTTTCTTTTCAAAACCACAATGACCCTCAATTTTGTGAATAGGAAAATATGCATTCAACTTTTTCACTTACAATGGTCGCAGTGAATGGTCTTGCAAATCATCTCTTCTCTTTCAATATGTCGTTAAATTATTGTCCCGAAACGATAATTCATTGTTTCTATAACTTATCCTATTAGACTTAGTTTTCTTTACTTGATTGGGATCATATGCAACGGATTCTAATAATTATAAATCTTTATTTAGCTTCTATGACACTCTTGACTAGTTTTTTCAGGTTTCATAACACTTCAGTTGAGTCACTGTATAAAAGCTTCTCCTTTGGAATGTTAAATTCTTTGTTATCATATCATGTAAATTGATCATTGTTAAGCGATAAATTATGTAATTTTATGTCGAACAGTGTAAATATTTGCTATGGTGTGATTTCGAAAATGAAGTCGCCTATGTGAACCATTCTTATTTGCTATACATCACATACTTAGCGTAACCTTCCCAATTATTTTTACGGACTATGTTATATTACTTATTATTTATTCAGTGGTATAAATAATATTTAGAGGGTCTATTATCATACATGTTGACAAAAAGCGATTTTACATAGTTTTGAAAGTAATTTTTTATTGAGATTGAAATATTTACCTTGGTCAAGTAGTTTGTTTATTCTGTCTTCTCTTTCTTTTTCCTCATTCGTTTGACATTCTTTGATGTACTCTGTTTTAAAGATGGATTTAGAGGTTATCTCTTCATCCAAATCATTTGTTTTAACGTTATTTTGATGGGAATCATTGTTGTTTTTGTTCCTCACTGGATGAATCATAAAATCACAACTATAATACCTGGAAAAATATTCTTACATCTAATAAAAATAGTTTGCACCTAATATGTGGAGATCATGTCTCATTGTGACATCACGAGCTAACTGGACCGAATTAAAATGAATTTCAGACAGAATTGTCTTCGTTTGTATTTTACGGTTACATGGACTTGTAAATAAATTAAAGATATTAATAGTTTTTAGAAGATGATAATATTAAATAACAAATTAACTTGAGTTAGTAAAAACTGGCAAGTGAATTTCAGTCCAATGTATGAATTGCAAAAAATTCATTGTGCACAGAGTAGATCTTAGCTTAGAATGGTATACAATTCTTACACATGAAGGAAATAGAAAGTGTGACGAATAATAGTTGCATGAGATTAGCGAAGAAATGGCTTTTGTTTCTAATGGATGGTACATACACTATCGGTGTATTGATTTTCTGATATATATATCGTTTAGTCGATAAACTATATTTCTGGCTCCCAGCCTTCTCATTTTAGTAGTCGATTTGTGATTTTAGATTTTTCCTCATCAGTGAGACCATATGATAAATCACTTAGTTAATGTCAATCTATAAATTTACTAATAATGCTTCATATGAAATGATGGATATTCATGTTAACAACACACTAAGTTTTATTGAATGTTAAGTTTGCGTTAATTAAGTCTGTAAAATATCAGAAAACAAGGCAGGCAATGAACACTCCTAATGCAACTTCTTCCCAGGTATTGAATACTACGTCATTTGAAGTTGAGTGGTGCCTATGAGTGTAATCCGAGAAGTGAGTTTACACCTGTTTGGAGTAAGGTAACTGAACTTATTAACATCTGTGCTGATGCTTACTTTGAGGATCAAACCCAGTATACATCTCATCAAATACCAAAGCATTATTCTCTGAGCTACTGATTCCAGGCATCTATTTATTTTTACAATGAATGTGGATTTTATTTATAAGAGTTTGTATTTTCGCTTTATTTTTGTTTTGGTATTTGTGGATTCCAAGCTCAATACCTCGATATTGCCGCTGAATTACAAGTCCTTATAAAGCTAGATAGTAACTTGCAGTGTAATCCAACACATGCATTTGGTCCTGTTTAAGATTCATCAGTTGTATAAACCAACTTCAATAAAAATTTGTGACTAATTGGTAATATCGAGATAATCCGATCAGGATACATATATCCCAACAGAAATTGTTCAGTTTTAGTCATAAATATTAACAAAGCGAAAATACACACCTTAATAGATGTTTTTACGTGAAGGTGAAAAAGGTTTTATTATCCTAACAGGTAAGTTAGACCTAATAGTTATTCTAGTAAATTAGATACAGTTGTGTTTTTATCCAGTTCATAAAATAATGAAAAATATCATTTAGTTAGTTAAGAAAGAAGTAGAGATTTATCGAAAGTATTTCTCATCATTAAGTTAGTTGGGCTCTGAATTATTCAGGTTTTATTTTTCAAACTTCACCGGTAACCTTCAACCTACTTCTAAAGATCTAGTTTTTATTTATCCACTTTACATTGCAACAGTACACAGAAAAGAAGAAACTCTTCTAGGATGGTTTATCAACATCAACAGCAACAACAACAACAAAATATGATATTTGAATTACCTGTGTTATTATTTTGTGATAATGATCTATCATTTAATTGTAAAAACTTTTCAATATTTCGACAAATTTCATCTGGAAACGTATTGAACTTTTCAATAGTATCTACTAGTACAATTTGATTTGAGTTTTGTTTCGTATTTTCTATTTGATTGATTTGTTTAGATGTTTTAAATTTTTTATTTGAATTTATCAAATCATTTAGTTCATTTTCAATTTTTTTGTGTAAAATTCGAGTATTTTCTTTAACCTCAATGTAAATAATAAAAATAATGACTTTAGAATATGTTCTGTAGTTTTACTATTTTAAGAGTAGTATTTGAATGCTTTTAATGATGGCCAGTAACTACGTCTGAAGCCAACCGAAGGTGATTGCCAATCTCAAAGCCTGGTAAAGGACTAACGTCATCTCGTAAAAAAGGAACTTGGCTACTGTTAGCGGGATATAGACTGGATTAAAGCATGCTCAATGCACGATTGCTTTGGTGCACGCTGATTGGCTAATTCTTATCCAATCAGCACTAGTCGATACTTGGGGAATACTCTGGAATCTTCTCATGTAAAAACTATAAATATGCTAACGTTTTCTCTATTGTGCTTCTTACTTGCTTCTTGCTTCCATCTAACCTTGTTATTTGGAGTATAATCTCTTTCCTGTTTAACCGTGTTCTGATTTGGGGACTTGTCGAGTGTACTGGTGTCCGAGAATACTAGCAATAGGAATAGCTGGGTCATACCGTAAGAAAAAGAGATTATAACAGCTACAAAGTCACTGACCAGAAGAAAATAGACAATCTCTACTCTTCGAGGAGAAAGGCTTAAAATAGAATTTTTGATGCCTCATGGAGAAAGCCGAAATTCTTCGGAAGTCACAGGGCTTATACTTTTTCTATTCCTCAGGTCAACAATTAATATGGGAACACGGAACGTTTAAACAATGTAGAGTTCTGAGAACGTCATTTAACTAGCGAATGAAATGGGACGACCTGATACGGAAATGTTTGAAGAGAATGAGACCCATTGAATAGAATTTGGACAGCAAAGTCTAACTCCACGAAAAATACCACTGTCAGCCGACAACAAAGACAGAATTTTCGACACTGATGTTAAGGCAGATCTGTTTTAGGGATCTGGACCTGGAAAATTACCATCACTAACATAGTATGAGCATTTTTAAACAGCTGTTTATGTAAGATACTACAGATCCATCGACCAGAGACCATCACTAATAATTTACTGAGGAAGAGAGCGAACCAACTCCCATTTGAGAAGGAAATCCGAAAAAGATGTCGGATTAGGATAGGACACACTTTACGAGTACCATTAAACTGCATCATAAGGCAAACCTAAACCTGGAATCCTCAAGGTAAAAGAAAAAAGTAGATCAAAGAACACATGAGCCAGGAACTGGTGGGAGACATCAGTACCATAAATAGTATTTAAAATCAAATGAGAAAGACAGTCCAGGACAGAGTTTGTTAGAGATCCATAGTCAACATCCTATCCCTCACGAGGGGCAAGAGTTTTGATTAAGTAAATCATATTGGCTAGCGCGAGAGTAACGTGAGCAAAATTTACATACACTCAGGTGAGATTATATCATCAATTTATTGAGTTATTGAATGCCTGACTGAAATGTGTCAGTTAATTTGATTTTTTCTCAAGAAACCAAACAACTTGAGAAACCTTTCACCAATCAGCTTAACAACAGGGAGAGCAGGGTAGTTTTGTTTGTTTAATGTTGGAATTTACCGTCATCAAAAGATCATACTTCCATCTATGGAAACACTTGAATTTTGAACAAAATCATTAGGAGTTGACACCTGAAGATCATAATATAGATTATGAAAACACTTAAAAAAGATTTGATATGAGATACAGGAAAAGTTTTTCTCTACTAACTTTGAATGATCTAAATCTAAATAGAACTATTGAATAAAGTTTAGTTATAGTAAATAAATAAAATTGTATTTATAAATAGGAAAATGAATTCATACTTCTTTTTCTTCCTTTAATTTACTATTCAATATCATATCTAATAATTGGATATACTTTTTACCCTTGGTAATTTTTAAATTTTCTTTAGTTTTTATTTGTTCAGTTTGTATTGTACAAGGCGATTCATTTTCATTAATAATGTAATCAAATAATTGATTGGTTTCTTCCAATTCTTTGTTGATCACTTCAAAATCTATTAAAATAGAACGTATGATACAGATTAGACTAATGTAAAAACAAATTTAATTTCCTTTTCTTTTACATAAATTTCTACTCATGAATTGAACTAGATTTGGTTGTAATATTTTGTCTTATTTAAAAATAGCTTAAAGAAACAACAACAAAAAACTGTCTGGATTGTTATCATTCCAGCGTCGTATTTATCATCTAAAATAACTCAGTAATGTATCATATTATATAGTTTAGAAGATAAGAATTATTATATACAACTAAGCTTCATTATCATATCCTCTTTGTGTTCCTATCTCTCTTACATTTTTAAATCGTTCTGTTATCAAAAATGTTCTCACTATATTTTCCTTAACTTTTTATTTTAGAACAGTCATTAAAGTTGTACACTAACAAATTGTCTCAGCTTTCAGACTGCTTTTTAAATCATTCAATAGTACTTGTAATAAATCCTTAATATATTTGATTACATTAAAGGGGACCAAAGTAAGCAATGTCAACGTGTAATATCTAATTTTTTTTTTAAAAAAAAAGAATCTTCTTAGTTCAGTAACTAAGCAAATCATTTACAGTTTGAAGTTTTTGCTTACTAGCTGGAGTTTATGGAAACTAATGGTTTACATACTTAAAAATTTCTGGTTACAACTTTGACAAAACGAAGTCTTACAGTACTTAAATGACTAAAATTTCAATGAAATAATTATTTGATCTTACTCAAATTTCAACAATTTTTTGAGTTATTTATAAATGAATGTACCGGTCAGAATTATGTATTATTCTTTTATCCCTATTATATAATTCTCTAACTCGTTTACTAAACACAAGTTTATATAGTGATCTTCAAAGCTGATCAAGTTGATTATGTGAGATTTAGTTACACTTCTATTCAATTGACTATACTAGATTAATTGAAATAAATTCCCATTAAAATGAATAAAAATTGAAGATTAAGTATTTGAATAACTTAACAACTCAATATACATGTAATTATGGTATTATTATTATTTTCTTACAAATTTACTGACCAGTAAATAAAGATTCAGAAAATGGTAATTCATTCAAATAGTTACTATCCACTTCAAAATTCTCAGTAAATTCATCCTAAAATAATTTGAAAAACGATGTTTCCAAAGTAACTATTTCATTATTATTTTGAAAATAAAATTAAAAAAGAAAAATTTTAAATTAAATTTATTGAATTAATTTTTTTGTTAATATTCATTTAAATTAAAAAACAATTGAGTTTCATTTAAACATTTATCATTTTCATTGAAAGTTAATTTTTGTTGAGAATTTCGTTTAAATTGTCCAGTCCATTGTTTACCATCTGGATCAATTAATTCAATTAAGGAATTTTCTTGAATATTATTTTGTTCAAATTGTGCTTTTAATATATGACCACTTGGCCAATAATATGTACCTAAACCATCCATTCTATAAAAATAAAAAAAATATTAAAAGATTATTTAAATAATATGAAAAATAAATAAATAAATTTATAATGGTTAGGCGCTCGCGCGCGAGACTGATAGATCCTGGGTTCGAATCTTGCGGTGGGCGGAATCGTGGATGTGCACTGTTGAGGAATCCCACAGTCGGACGAAACGGCCGTCCAGTGCTTCCAGGTTTTCCATGGTAGTCTAGCTTTAATTGACTCGTAAATTCGACTATCAAATTACTAAAATCTTCACAAAACCCCTTCTAATAAATTTCTGTAGTTGAAATCATGAGTCAATTGAAGCTAGACCACCATAAAAAACCTGGAAGCACCGGACAGCCGTTTCGTCCTATTGTGGGCCTCTTAAGCAGTGCGCATCCATGAGCCCATCTCGCATGATTTGAATTTCTACTAAACTCCTAATTTGAAAGATACATCTACTTAGAAAAAAATGTTAATGACTCAAAAAAAATTCTAAATAAAAAACAAAAGTCATTAATTTTATGATTTATACCGGATTTTCGTTATTTAACTACTAATACTAGAAAAGTGTAAGGCATTTCTTCTATCTGTAATGATGAAATTTCTGAGAACTGAAGGCTTAAAATGAAGAAATAAACCATCTAGCGTAACTATATATATTCCTCAATAAAGAACCGCTTTTTAAACAAATCATTGTTGTACGAACGTTGATTTTGTGCGTATCTCGACCGTGTAATTAGAGGCCTTAGTGAATTTAGCGGAGAGATCCAAAACTTTTTGAATAGTTACATATAAATTTAGGTCAGATACAAGTAGATTTTTGGCAGGACTAGAGCCTTTCATCTGGATCTCCCTATGGTTTGCTTTATAGTTTGAATCCATATCACATCACGTTTCTGCGGGATACCGGAAATTCACAAACATGAGAACGTTTTAATACCAATAGTGAGCTTTAAAATACCTCCACATGTGTTTTACCTAAATATTTATACAATATAGTAAAGTTACTTTAAAACAAATTAAATATTATCGTAAAGAATTCATATTAATTTAAACTGACGACCTCGGAATTATCTATCACCATGAAGTAAAAGGTAGTAAGGTGTGACAATGTGTCTCTATGCGCAAGAACTCCCAATGATTGATATCTTGAATTTGTTGATGATTTTTAAGAGAATGACAATAACTTATCTAGCATATGTCAATTAAGCATTAGTTCAATCATGAAATCCCTCAAACTATGCTTGAATTCAACGCTATTCACTTAATAGGGATATATATATATATATATATATATATATATATTAGTTAAATATTTATTTTCTTGGTCTGTATAAGCTTGACCATCACTGAAAACCAGGAAGCACCGGTTGTTGTTTATCTATTTATATTTTATATCAATTCGCTTATTTTTGCAAGTACCATTAGATCACACATCTGGCTCAAATATATAGATAACACATTTGTCATTATTGAAAATACTCTCCTTAGAAATTTCTCTAAACTAATAAACACGTTATAAAAAACGTCAACTTCACTTCTGAAAAGGAAGGTGAACGTTGTGAACTACCATTTTTAGACTATTTAGTTAAAAAGTATTCTAAATATTAAATATTTACAAATTAAATCGGCAGAAATAGTATGTGCTATTTTCGTTGATAGACATATTAATATTGGAAAAGTGTCGACAAACTTCATAAATGTATATCTAACCATGAAGAGAGGCGAGTGGTCAAAGCGTTTCATTTAATGATAAATCCTTTGTCCTTTGATAGGAAAGAAGACCTAACTATTCATCCTACTTGGACTGTTTATCCATCAGCAACATTTGGTTCTACAAATTTTCAACACGATCTGCACATATAAATTAAGCCCCACTATCTCATATTACAAAACATACATTTTTCATACACATAAATACAGCGATAAGTCATACAGAATCACCTTGAAAAAAAGGACATAAACCGACACATACAGATCTAGTGTGATTTTGACTGTGCTTAAAATATATTGCTTTCTTTCCTTGGTACGACTTAAACTTGTGTTGATTTTATTTCAGTTACTTATTGATTTTAAAGAAGTAAATTACATCAAATCACGAAACATCAGAAATAAGCCTTTCCACCAAATAAAATATCACAAAAATATTTTTGTCAACTAATTAAAAAATATTCGTGCTGTTATTTCACATTGCGTGGAAAGAAATATTGTCTTGGCAAAGAGACGAGGTTTAAGAGTAGGTATATTGAGTTTCCTTAATCTCTTTAATACGACGGAGTATCGGACTGCAAACAAAGGTAGAAAAATTTTAGCAAATGTCATTTTCATTTGCCCTAGTAAAGCCTTCAAAATATTATTCCTCAACTGGGTCCTCGAGTAAACATGGAAAGTTACGCAATTAAGTACATTTCTCAACAATGAGAGACAATCCATAACAGTAAACTATACGTTATCATTACGAAAATGTGTGATGATTAGAGTTATACAAAGAGACACTCTACGCCTCATTCTTTTTCATCTAACTCATAGTATTTACCCAGATTTATCAAGACTAATCATTCTGTATTATGGGGCTGACGTCAAAGCATGAACATCTGTAAACAATAGATATAACAAAATCGACTAAACAGGGGGATGGATAGGTCGAAAAATCGGTTGTCAAAAGTGAATTCTAGTAAGTGTGTGGTGATGCAAATCACTCATTGTGATAACTCACACCGTCACACAACAAACAGGATGCTTCTGACTATTTTCGAGAGTTTAAAGACCAACATCAAATAGTTTACACTCGCAGTTTTGTCTTTTGGACTGAGCCGCCTATCGTCGGAATTTTCTACGAGACGATGCTGAGTCTGAACCACTTGTTGATAAAGTCAAACTGAAATTAGATTTTAGCAATACTAGAGATCTTGCAGATCAACACAGGTCACTTGTTCTCTTATCATTGGCTTTGGAAACTAGACACTAAGGATATCCTAAAAAATGTTTTATGTTAATTTCGAACATAATATGCATTCAATCTTCACTTCTAGAAAACTTCGCGGTGAATACTTAACTTCCAAATATAGTAAAAAAATGACTAACTTATTGTCTTTAAAACTGCCTTCATAATAAGATCCAGATGCAAATTTCACTTTCCCAAATCCTTCAATTTTGTCATTCACCCATTCTCCTGAGTAGTATCCTTTATGAAGAAACGTTTCTCCAAATAAATCACATAACATTGAAACATCAGAACCGTTTCTGTTTTTACATTCAGGATTGATGTCTGACAAATTTCTATACGATTGGCTAAGTGAATTTGATATTGTCACATCTAACATCCGTTTTCTAAAATCACCAACAAATTTGCCTTTTCCGTGCCGTACAATTCCTGAATCTCTTATAGCGTACTGACCTTCGTAATAGTCTCCGTTGGGAAAGACAAACTGACTGAATAGTTCATCATCAATCATTTAATATTGTGCAACCATGTTTCTCACCAGTAACTATTCATTTATATAGTAAAACAATTAAATGCTCGTGTTAACTAACACCATATATTTACATAAGAACTGGTGTAAAATTGATTACCTCTTTTGAGTTCACCTTCTCATACTGATTCAGGTTTTCGATATCCTTCAATGTGGATTGTTCAGCCACTAGATTGCTAATCCTATTAAATCCGATCGTTATTTGGAGGCGTTACAGTGAGTATAAATGAGTCTGTTTATTCTGGTCAGGTATGGCTTCCAGAATCGGCAGTTATCACTTTACGAGTAATTTATTGTTATATGGAAGAAGTTAGAATCAAAATAAAAAGGAGCTGACAGAAGACGGATCCAAGGCAAATGAACAGGCTTTTTACCTTATCGAAAAATGAAGAAAATACGTCAGTAGATATGTACATACAAAACGATTGATGAATGGCAATGGTAAGCGGTGAGGTGGCATGGCGGCATACTACTAATAATAAATTATTATAATCATGATTAAAATAAGAGATATGGAGCAAGAATGTTGATAAGTACAAAGCGTATTTCTTAATGAGTGCGTATGGTCAACAGTTGTCAGAAGCAGAGGACGTTCAACTATGAGCACGTAAATGGTTGTTGAGTTTCCTCTGGGTTGATTGTAGCCACTTCAGCTGGGAGGGCTTTCCAAATATGGCGGACTTGTTATGAGAAAAACTGTCATCTTACATGGGTATTCCCATCTTATTGTGCAATTCACCGTCAACTGACCCCCAAAATCTTATGTGCTCCCGATGTGTTATTTCTATTATGGTGACTTAAAAAACGCATTGTTTCTCAGGGTGAATTTATCCGCAACGCAACCATGTAAACTTAATGTATCGCCCAGTGTAATAACTGTCATCTGTGCGTTCAAGTAACCACAGATTTTGTCATTTCATAATGTATTTTTAATTAAATAACTAGGTGGTGTTGTTAATTTCGCCCTGTTTTTAATTTTTATTCGCCACGTCTGACTGCGTTACACTGTACGTTTATTGCACGCTGGAATGATATCTCAAGTCGTAGTTAGTTTAATCACATAGTTTATTGTTTCCAGATAGACAGTCAGTGCATGATGTTACTGAAGAAATGTTTGTTGTACTGTAGACTATGCTTTTCTGAACAACTGACTGTTGTCTTCAGTCTGAAAACAATATATATGTATCCTTCGTCTTCTGTTAGGTAAGTTCAAATGACCTATATTTCGTGTTTTGGTTTTATCGTGCTCTACAGCTTTAAGTACGTTTGGTGTTTATTTGTAGACAGTACGTCTAACACTGTTCATGTTTCAAGATCACTGTCATTAAACAATTTCCCCAGCAATAACATCGGTAGCAGGATAGCTAAGTGTCAGCTTTTATTTGCCTGCAGAAGAGCAGTATGCAGTCTTAGAAGATGAGTTTTCTGTGTCTCAATTAAATGCAGCAGGCTGTGGGCAAACGTTAAGAATCTTTTTGACAACTGGGACTTTTAGTTTATCAGACACTAACTCTGCTTGTATGTCTTCCTGTTAAACTGGACGCAGATGCATGCGAATACCTAAATGGGAGCAAAATAATAAAAGCATTGCGATACGGTACTAAGTCCATGTTATGCTTTGCACAAGTCATAGTTGCTGACTTGATCTAATATTTATGAACTCAAAGTAAATCACAACTGCATAAATTCTTTGCTAAAAAACATGTAATTTGGTTATTTATCTATTCCACATTTCTGACTAAATTCATTACTGTTTTCTCATTTAGAATGCAAGAGGAGTGAGCCTTCACAGATCCTAAGAACTGTTTCGCCCTTAGAACTATGGCCCTATGAAACTGTTTGCAGGAGACCCAACTAACAGCAGATTATAAAAAGGATGCTGGATATTCATTTTAGTCTCACAACCACTTCCAGTACTTTTTGAGTTACTTGTTTTACCCTTTCGTTTGGAAAAAACAATGCTGCAGCTTAACATTACCAGTGCAACTTATAAACGGGGACTTCGTCTAAACCTTTGATATTCGATTCTTAATGAAAGTTCCCGAATAAATTTTTGAATCTAATGCTACTTTGTTTTATCTACTTAATCGTTGCAAGAAACTTGTGATATGCGAGCCTCTCAGTATGTAGTTCGTATGTAGTAAATTTAAGTGATTTAGTAGATATCTTCGTCATTTTCTTGGGAAACCTACAGACTCGGGTCCCCTCATAACTTATTCTAACCACCATGAGTTGTCACGGCAGCTGATGGATGGACACGCGTTACACATCCTAACCGTACCTGCGTCTAGTCTTATAGCTCCTCATTCAAATGCCATATGATAAGCAAGCAATGCCCCTACCCGCACCAATGGGGCACTAGTAACTTAAAGACACCCTGTATGGTACCTTACATTGGTCTACGCACTCGCTTAGCTCTTTGGTGAGAATATTGCTACAGTCCTGCTAAAAATCCCATGAACCCCTATCTCTATCAAAACAAATAAGTCTGTATTTGCTGCATGCAGCAATTTTATTTTTCTGATGTAAGATATAACAGTTAAAATTAGAGTAAAATAGCACTATACAGCAGATGTATCGATTAACTGAAATAGAGAATACGGATATTAGCTTAACAGGCTTATTTAGAAGGGCTAGTGTCTACTTTGAACTTCCTGCGTGAGAAAGTTATACTGGAACTACGAATAATGTAGTCTCCCAGGGCGTACGAAGCACTCAGACTGTAAGACAGTTGTCCAAAAATAATTCGAATATGAAGGTGAGATTTGCAGGTACTTTTCATCGTAAGGGTTAACATATTATGTACCGGTTGATATCATACCGTTAAAAACACAGATTTGCGAGTGGTGAAATATGATCTATAAGAAAGTGAGCCTAACAACAGTTAATTACCTTTTTACTCCCTGATCATGACCCTTCGGCTTCCTTTTATGATCAAAACAGCGAACATACACTACACACTGATAGCAGATTTCCGGCTTTTCAATGTTAAGCTTGCTTTTACGTACAACGTAATGAGTAAAACCCCTCTATTACTGCTATAGGGCATATTTTTCATAACAAACCCTCTGCAATAGATTGGTAGCATCTGTGAATTCATCTATGTTTATCAGAAGCCTGAGTCCTTTCGAAAACAATACTGTTATCCCCTACTGCTGGGCACTCTGTATTAGTTTGACTCGTTGGTAGGATAGTGTTGTCCATAGTACTGAAGAAAATTGAAAATCGGAGATTGTTTCCTTTCATTTTGCCGATAACATCATAAAGGACAGTTAGGAACGAACATGCGGACAGTTAGTCACAGGCGGCAGCAACAATTATTTCAGCTAAAAAAAACGAACTTCGACTTTGGATATCTAGAAAACAAGTCAATAAAAAACCGATGACCATTTTAAAACATAAGACTAGCCAGCTTGGCTGAAGAAATACATTGACTTCAGTAGCAGCAGCAGCCAAAACCCAGAAAACAAAGCAAAATGTGGAAAAATTTTGCTCCAACATTCAGGTTATTAGATTAACTTCTGCATTTTAGCACACTGAAACATTAAATTCTGTAGCTGCACAAAAGAAAAAGCTGAAAAGAACACAGAACGGAGAAGGACGATCGCCATTGCTTACAAAGATGGCGGATACAATAATTCCAGCTTCATTCTGATTGGTTGCTAAGCTGAAGGCCACATTTACGAAATTGAGTTGCGTTTAATAGCAGCCATTTCGCATCCTCATCACGTAATGCCATATCCTCTTGTGACCTAATGATTACAATCTCTGGTTGGGACGTTATCGCCGAATCTTATAACTTACTCTATGATGTAGCCCTATGATTGTTCCAAGGGATTCGTTACTCTTTCGAGCAGAGAATGTGTAATGAAGTTAGGTATAGGTAGATGCGTGTATTATGAAGTGTCAGATAAAGCTCAGAAAGTCAGCACACATAGATGCTACTGTGCGAAGCGGGGGAAATGGTAGGATTTCACTAAATCTCTTTAACATCCGTTGTTGATGTCCAACCTTTTTGTAAGCAACAGCCTTTTGCAGTGCTTTCATTTCCTAATTGGTTTTAACCTAAGAGGAAGAAGTATTTCTGATTCGCCTCCACAGCTTGAAATGGAATCATTCAACTACTCTGGAAGTTAAATATCAAACTTTATGGTGTTCTCTCCACCAATAGTATTAATCGCCTTTCGAGTCCTTGTGAATTCCGTTCAAATGTGACAGCTTTTTGAAGTATAATGTTTCTGCGTTGTTGAGGACTGATGAGATGTTTTCTGGTAGATCATTGAGGATTTGTAGTGGCATTGGACAATAGCCACACAATCCACAAAGCTGTGAACACGAGACTACTCAGAAAATAAATATTCAATATTTAATGCCGAGAAATACCTAACAATGGAGAAGGCGCGAACAAGGAATTGAATGGACTGGAGTTAATCGAGTGGCATGGCTCGTCCATGCAGGCGTGGTCTATCTAAATGTTACTTTATATCTTCTATTCATATTAAATATATTGTTCTTTCTCTAGCCTAACCTTGTTCCTCATCATGTATTGGTAATTGATATGATACAGTGAGTTGGTGTAGTCGATGGTGTGACTTCCACGTAAGATCTTATAGATTAGGCAGTTATATCATGACGAATCTACAATTTTGGGATTAGGTCTATTATTAGAGCAGTACTAATATAATGGTAGACTATAATTCTACAGATTAACGTAGACGATAGCCCCTTGTGATTTCTAGATGTTGTGCACATAACGCTCCTCAGAACTATAGATTTTGGAGCCTTATTGTAAATCTGTCCATCCGATACCTGACTTAGTTGTTGTTTAAGGTATGTGACTTCTAAGCTATTTAGGTTAATTAAATTCACGTACTTAAGTTATATGGTTTCGGAAGCTCCCTAATTTCTACATTTTATTTATCTGGTGGATTGATGAAGGTACTATATGTTGGATTGAAATTGTAGTGACATTGGGCCCTAACCACACAATCCTCAAAGTTGGACATGAGGCAACTGGGAAAATAAATATTCAACATTTAACGAGGAGAGAAATCCTACGATGGAGAAGGCGTGAGAAATTAATTCAGTTAAGTGATTGATCGAGTGGTATGGCTCGGCATTGCAAGTGTGGTCATACTTATATAAAATAGTTGTTATCCATGTTTAATAAATTGTTCTATCTTCAGCCTAAATGTACTCTTCATCGTATATTGACGACTGGTACAATACGATGAGTCAGGGTAGACGATGATGTGACTTCCACGTAAGATTTTGTAGATTAGACAGTTATATCACGACAAATCTAATTTCAGGATTACGTCTATTATTAGAGCAGTACTAATATCGAAGTAGACATAATTCTACACAATATTTTAGCAACGTTTGTATGAGAGACTTCCAAACCGTCTATATCCTCATACTGAATCCGTCTACATATTATTCGCAACATACCTTATTAAACCTTTAGTAATATACACCACCCGTTCAAGACATGCAACTTTGCCCGGTTCAGTCGTTCAGTGTTTCATTTACTCTAGGATATTTCACTTTCCGGATTATGCAACCTTCGCAAACATTTGCCGATAAACATCGTTAATAGTGTTTTCTACAGCTATTCAATGCCTATTTATCAGTAGACTCACTCCTTCCTTGAGTCATGAAGCCTGTTGAAGCCGCTCATGATGTAGTAGTTTTCGGAACTGTGGAGGATGCATGAATAGCTTTCATTCTGTAGCAGCGTTCGACTGAGCGCTATACAAATATGACTAAGTCCGATCTCAGCAGACTGTGGGAGTGCGGATAACAACGTTTTCGAATAAAAGCCGATCATTTGGTAGTAGGTAATTTGATCATGGTAGCTTTCCTTCCTTCCCTTATGTGTCAAACCATCCTTGTGCTCTCGATTGTATGTACGAGCTGTTTATTAGATGAATTGACAGGCAAAACGTTATATCTTGTAAGATTCTGACTGGGAAGTTTGAATTCTTCTGCAGTATGTGATAAAAAATTCAGGTACGATAGCAGTATTCGTTCTTTGTGTATATTTTCGATTTTGGTATACTGATATTTCAGGTACAAAAATTCAAGTATTCAGCTTGAGTTTAGAAGACAACTCAACAAAATTAAGATTCATTTGATAAGGCCAAACTACTGGGTTTTTCCATACTATGTCTACGATCTTTGGGTCACGATCAGCTATGGTCTCGAAACACAGACTTTGTTAGTCATTTATGCGGTACTCTTAGGAAACCAAATGCTAAATAGGTAGCGATACACTTCAACAACCATCCTCATCTACGATACATTAAAATATTTTTCTGGCACGAAATAACGTACTAAACAAAAGTTCTGATAAATACAACTATCCAATAGGCAAGAATCAAAAAACATTTTAATCAAAACAGGGTAGCCTTTTTATTTGGAAGAACCAAATCAATTACAAAACTCGCCAACGGACATCCAAAGAAAAACAACAATCAGAAGCTCCATGACCCAAACCTGAGTGAATTCATATGGCATCATAAAAGAACAAAATGAAGTGGCAGAACAAAAACTCATCTACACTCATATTCTAAATGTTAATTGATGTCATGGACTGATCAGGGTTAGACCGCCGATAAAGGTCTTGAACCACTGGACAGTCATTTTTCTGAACATGGCACTACTCAGCAGTGCACACTCACAACTTTACAGGCGATAATCGAGGCCGTGAAAATGTGGAGGTATTTTTCGATAAATTATTGCTATAGACCTGTTCATTTCATGAGGTATCTATCATAATCCTTTCTGGAGATGTATCACCTGCCTTTCTGTAACCTTGCCACTCTTAATTAATTTAGAGTCTTCAACTTGATGCGACTCTAGATGAATATTACCACTCTGACTCTTGTTTTTTTATTTCCAAGCACGTTTGGATGGTGTCGTATCTCTGCATCATCATTTCATCGTCTGTGAGATCAAGAAAGAGAGCCAGATTCTATCAGAAATCATAGTCTTTACTTAGAACAAAATGAAAATAATTCTGAATTGTCTGAAAATCTCCTCGTGTTACTGAGGAGACATTTAGTTGTTTTTCGCGTTGAACATCAGAATTTGTCTACGTACCTGTAAACAGGACATGTAATGGGGTACGTGATTTGCCAGTTCTATGAAATCCATACCACATTCCTTCTTCCCTTCTTGATAAGTTGATACAATGTAATTTTATTCCCAATGCTCTATGGCTCGAATTGTTGATCAAGGCAATCAGAGATTACACGATATTTTACTCGCTTCCAACCCCATGTTTAAGCAATCTAAGGAAGATTTTACAACTACAAGCAGCACTATGCAGGTCAATTCTTATTTTTTATCACGCCCGTAATAAGCAGGAAATGTCGCAAATCACCTCAGTCAATTAATATATCTGTCTATCTGGTGACGGTCGTGTTTTAATACTTCGAGGTTACGGCGGCACTTCATTCTTGGAGAATGTCGTCAACTTTGGGCGTTTCGGCCCTTGTTGGTAGTGGTACGTCCTTAAATATCTGTTACAAGTAGACTAATTACTGAATCTAATTCTGGTTTCACTACTCTTAAATTAGCGCATCACTCATAGTCTTATTTTTCATAACTATTACACTTATGTGATAATGATTACATTAACTTATCTTTATTGAAAGGCTAAATTGGAAACATTTGTCATAACTTTTGCGGTACGTTTCTCTTTGTTTCGCTTCGAAGGTGTTATCTTCCACGCTCCAACTTTTAATTCCTATATCGTTAATCAGTTCATGGAAGTCAGAGGTTCTTGAATGGGTTTTTTGTTGCCAGAAAAACAGATCAAGACAGTTTATCATGTTTGTTATTCACTCTTACTGTATCTTGTTCAAAGATACTCAGTAGTACCAGGCTTGTTTCCTGTCTAACCCTCGGTTCTCCGGATATCACTGAAAGACTAGTCTCATTGCTTTCTTGATAATGCCACCATAAACCGTCCGTTTTGTTATACACTTTAGTCCCGAGCCGTAATTGCCCGGTTTGTTCTATTCGCGAAATGACCACGAAACATTTCGTAGGATATCCTTAGTGTCTAGTTTCCAAAGCCAATGATAAGAGAACAAGTGACCTGTGTTGATCTGCAAGATCTCTAGTATTGCTAAAATCTAATTTCAGTTTGACTTTATCAACAAGTGGTTCAGACTCAGCATCGTCTCGTAGAAAATTCCGACGATAGGCGGCTCAGTCCAAAAGACAAAACTGCGAGTGTAAACTATTTGATGTTGGTCTTTAAACTCTCGAAAATAGTCAGAAGCATCCTGTTTGTTGTGTGACGGTGTGAGTTATCACAATGAGTGATTTGCATCACCACACACTTACTAGAATTCACTTTTGACAACCGATTTTTCGACCTACCCATTGCACTTTAATGTACCTGTAGTCTTATTAAACTCATTGTGCATGTGCGTTTATTGATAAGTTTAGTGCTTACTGTTTACAGAACTGATTAAAATGAACTTTCGTCACCTGAGTGCGAAATCACGGTTAATCTATAAGTATGAAAAGACTTATAGAAACATGACCAACTAGTTTCGCATTAATTAGATTTGCGAAAATTACCTAGATCACAATTGTTCTTTTTCATATGTTATATTTGGGTCTCTAACAAATGTTAGTTAATGACTCAGGATTACTCATGTGGTGTTAAAAACTACCGCATAAAGGTTAAGCTACCTTATAGTAAGCATCCACTCGATTATTATTTGATGCATCGTAAATGATTTCTATAATTTGGAGTTTATTTAAAAAACTTCATTTATGATGTGTGTTTATAAATAATGTTTGATTTCTATGAAAAGTCAATTATTGGTCATGTTTACAGTAGCCAGTGTTTACTATCTTATTCCGCTTGTTGGTAATTTATTGAGTTCCTGAAGTCTAATATACTCTACACTTTTTCTGTGGTCATTTAAATGTTTCCCGGAAATTCAACTACTTTAAAGAGAGCAAGAACAAAAATTGGTGCAGAATAATATGAATTCATTTTATTTCGTTAGGTTCTCATCAGCTGCTTACAACCTAAATTATTTAAAATTCAACATTAATACAGATATTGACATATTTATATATAAGAGTGTGATTAAGGATCAATACATGTGTATGATGATGTAGCGAATATTCAGATAGAGTTAATGAGCTCATAAAATGTTTGATTCGAATAAATAAATAAAGTTTGAGAGGGAAAGTTCCAGAACATTGAAATAGTGATTAGAACTCATGAAAATAGATTAATGGTAATAAAGAAAATATGAATTGAAATCAATCAGTTATGTATGATGTAATTTATATTTCAGAAAGAGTTGCAATAATGACGTAATAAATAAATAAATAGGAGCAAATTAATAGAAAGAGTGCGGGTTATTGTTACCAGGGTAAAGAAAGATTTATTACTGTCTCTTTTTGTATACATAGATCTGGTTTTAAACGCTTGATTGCTAACGCTTCAGCGAATTTCAAAAGGTTCGAGTTTGATTGTTTGTTAATCACCTTGAAGGAATTCAGTATATCAGCTTTATGTCCTGTATCAAGGAGATGTCTGGCGATAGCACATCCGAATATCCATTTCACTATGGAACATGAAAAAGAAAACAAGTTCCATTTTCTCGATATCGCGATGAAAAGAAGAAAAGATGGTACAGTTCAACGTTCAGTTTATAAGAAAGACACATGGAATGGTAGTTATCTTAATTTCAATAGCTTTTGTCCAATCAGTTACAAAAAGGCACTGGTCAAAACACTGTTTTACAGAACAGAAAGAATATGTACTTCCGATACACTAGAAGAGGAAGTTATGAATGTTAAAAAATGTTTAAAGAATAACGGATACCCACTGAAATTTATTGAGAAATACGGCAAATGTGAAGTTAAAAAGCCGAAAGAAATTACAGCAAATAAAAAGCCTATTTTTATTAAACTTCAATTCAAAGGTGACGATGTCACAGGATCAATCAATATGAGACTAAAAACTGCACTGACAAGAACTTATCCTGCAGCGAAATTGATTGTCCTGTCCAAAACAACATGCTCTTTGACACAATCAAAGGTCGATAGGTATCCCTTTCATGTTACCACCAACTGTGTATACAAATTTACATGTACCTGCCAAAGCAGTTACATTGGTAGAACAGAAAGGAGAGCCTACGTCCGATTCAAAGAACATATTCCGAAAAGTTTAAGGTTAAATGGATTGAACGCATTCAACAGTGCTATCGCCAGACATCTCCTTGATACAGGACATAAAGCTGATATACTGAATTCCTTCAAGGTGATTAACAAACAATCAAACTCGAACCTTTTGAAATTCGCTGAAGCGTTAGCAATCAAGCGTTTAAAACCAGATCTATGTATACAAAAAGAGACAGTAATAAATCTTTCTTTACCCTGGTAACAATAACCCGCACTCTTTCTATTAATTTGCTCCTATTTATTTATTTATTACGTCATTATTGCAACTCTTTCTGAAATATAAATTACATCATACATAACTGATTGATTTCAATTCATATTTTCTTTATTACCATTAATCAATTTTCATGAGTTCTAATCACTATTTCAATGTTCTGGAACTTTCCCTCTCAAACTTTATTTATTTATTCGAATCAAACATTTTATGAGCTCATTAACTCTATCTGAATATTCGCTACATCATCATACACATGTATTGATCCTTAATCACACTCTTATATATAAATATGTCAATATCTGTATTAATGTTGAATTTTAAATAATTTAGGTTGTAAGCAGCTGATGAGAACCTAACGAAATAAAATGAATTCATATTATTCTGCACCAATTTTTGTTCTTGCTCTCTTTAAAATAATAAAGGGAACTATGTGTATGAGAAATTCAACTACTGTTATCGATTTCCAACTTTCATTTAGTTTGTAATCTTTAGATTTGATTGTCTCTGAAACCCCTGTCCAAGTCTCCTCACAAGGTTTAGATTAGTTGGTGATTTCATAAGATCATCTTATGTATGGCTCTTAGCGTTCTGAGATTTATTCCAGCACCCCTTATTAGCTCATTAAATTGGTGGCAAGAAGTGTCTAACACTTGTCTCAGTCACCTTAGTTGGGATAGTAACAATCTTTATTACATAGGAATTGGGAAGTATTTTTCTTTCTCAAGAAGTAACCTATAACTTCACAAAAATGATTCCTTTTGTCATAATTTTGGCAATTTTGAATACCGTGTAACATCTCAATCTCGACAAAGCAAAGTTGTGTTCATTCCTCCCTCATAACGTTTTTGTTTTTATTTCGCTAATTTAAATCTTTTCGAGTCGTATTTCCGATACATTATCTTTCCTATTACTTACGATACTGTTACTACCTCTACTATTCTGGGGTTTGGCATGAAAGCTGTCTGTGCCAATGGACTATGGCAATTTGGACCGATGCACATAAGTACAGGTTCTACGTTGTGACTGACTCGCAACATAAAGTGAAAATCTCAACATTTTGGCAGGCTAATTGGTAATAATGTAATACTACTGCTTTACATATTTATGCATTAAACTAATAACCATATTTATTAAAGGTAAGGTAGTTTATTGGTTAAAGCGTTTAGCTTTGAACTAAGATTTTTCGTGTTGAGAGCTTGCTGTTATCTACTTCTATTTGGTTAATAATGCAGTATCACGATCTCAGAATTAATGTTTTCAAAGCTGATTACATAAACCTATACTTGACAAATGAGTTGAATTGATTACCAGAGCTTATAGTATCAGTTAGCTATGCATAACTTGATACAAGTTATTAACTTCATATTTGTGATAGAGTAAGTGATAGTCGCTTATTTGAACCACACACTGTCTCATCAAGACTTAGTCGTTCCACGCGTTAAAAATATTCTTAATATAACTAATAACGAATTTTGTAATCTATTGTGATGAGTGTAGGAGCTGTTGTTGATGCACTCGTTAATTTTAAACAATTCGCTTATCCTCACAGTGGAAAATTAAATATCAAAGTGTGCTGATACATATTACATAGCTTTTCTGTTTCAACCATTGTTATTGTGGTTCGTTGCTTATTTCACTGATTCTTGTCCTAAATAGGATCTAATTGTTTAAAACAAGTTCTTACACATCCATCATATTTTGAATCTACTCTATCTTTTTGCACGCTTGAAGGCTTAAAGGAACCACCTTCCTATTCGTTTGAAGGTTACTACTCACGCCTGTTCCCCCTAGTGGAGGTGTGGAGGTTGTCCACAAGCATTTTCCATCAAACTCTGTCCTGGGCGATCATAACCAGTTGTTCCCAGTTGCTATCCAGTCTTTCGATGTCTGCTTCCGATTCCTGACATAGTGTGTTTGTTATAATCTCTCGCTTCTTACGGTTAATGACCCAGCTATTCCTATTGCTTAGTATTCTCGGACACAGATTCACTCGACAAGTCCCCAAATCAGAACACTGTTGAACAGGAAAAAGATTATATTCCAAATAGCAAGTCAGAAGCACAATAGGG